AAGAAGAAAGAAAAATGCTGTGGGGTCGGGCACAGTGGCTCACGCCTGTAATCCCAGCACTCTGGGAGGCCAAGGCAGGGGGATCACTTGAGGTCAGGAGTCCGAGACCAGCCTGGCCAACATAGTGAAACCCTGTCTCTGCTAAAAAAAAAAAAAAAAAAAAACTCAAAAATTAGGCAGGTATGTTGGCGCCTGCCTGTTATCCCAGCTACTCAGGAAGCTGAGGCACGAGAATCGCTTGGACCCGGGAGGAGGAGGTTGCAGTGAGCCAAGATCATGCCACTGCACTCCTGCCTGGGCAACAGAGCAAGACTCCATCTCAAAAAAAAAAAAAAAAAAGAAAAAGAAAAAAATGCTGTCAAGTCAGGCTCAGTGGCGTTCGCATGCAGTCCCAGCTACTTGGGAGGCTGAGGCAAGAGGATCACTTGAGCCTCAGATTTCAAGGCCAGCCTGGGCAACATAGCAAAACTATCTCTAAAAAAGAAAAGAAAAATGCTGTCAAAAAGATCTTGAGAAGTTTCCCTTCAACAGGCAGTGAGATTACTAGTCCCAAACATAAACAACATCATAGAAGGAGAAGTGATGGGGGCACAGATGAGGAAGCTCTTTATCTCAGCATACATCTTCAAGGAAAAAAAAAATGGCTGGGCGTGGTGGCTCACACCTGTAATCCCAGCACTTTGGGAGGCCAAGGCGGGCAGATCACCTGAGGTCAGGAGTTCTAGTCCAACCCTACCAACATGGAGAAACCCTGTCTCTACTAAAAATACAAAATTAGCTGGGCGTGTTGGCACATGCCTGTAATCCCAGGCTGAGGCAGGAGAATCGCTTGAACCCGGGAGGCAGAGGTTGCAGTGAACCAAGATCATGCCGTCGCACTCCAGCCTGGGCAACAAAAGCAAAACTCGGTCTCAAAAAAAAAAAAAAAAAAGAGAGAAAAAGAAAAAAAAAAAAAAAGCCAATGTAACCACCCAAAAATATTAGGACAAAATTTAAAACCCTTTGAACAAGTAGAAATATTCAGAGTATGGAGGTGAATACAAAGGCAGCCTGCTGATGAGAGAAAGAGCCTAGGCTGTGGAGCCCGTCACACCTGGGGCTGAATCCTGATTCTGGTCCTCACCAAGGTGGGGGCTGGGTCAGGCCCAACCTCCAGGGCCCACTTTCCTGCCTGTAAAACAGGGATGATGTTTAGCTCACAAGCATTAGAGATGGTATGTGTGAAAGTACGTAGCAGCATCTGGCCCATATTGGGTAGTACATAAATAACAACTAATATTATAATTTATGTGTTCAATAAACTGAAAAACAATGTTCACAAAAACAGGACAGCACTTTTCACAATTCTAGGGGTAGGCCCAGCTCTGGAACCTATCAGCTATGTGGCCTTGAGCAAGTGACTTAACCCCCTTATGCCCCCATCCTATCCTGTTCAATGGAATTCATGCTACTGCTAACTCTTGGAATTACTGTGAAGATTAAATGTGTTAATATAGCAAAGAACTTAAAACAGGGCACTTGGCTGCTGGCTAGAGTTCCCACCGTGCCACCAGGTCAGAACACCTTTTTCCTTCTCTCCCTTAGAGGATACATCCTGAAGATCTCGGGTATAGACCCAAATGCCTGCTGCTTAAAAAGCTTCAATTCCGGCCGGGTGCGGTGGCTCATGCCTGTAATCCCAGCACTTTGGGAGGCCGAGATGGGTGGATCATGAGGTCAGGAGTTCGAGACCAGCCCGGCCAATATGGTGAAACCCTATCTCTACTAAAAATATAAAAATTAGCCGGGCATGGTGGCGGGTGCCTGTAGTCCCAGCTACTCGGGAGGCTGAGGCAGGAGAATCGCTTAAACCTGAGAGACAGAGGCTGCAGTAAGCTGAGATTGCGCCACTGCACTCTAGCCTGGGCAACAGGGCGAGACTCCATCTCAGGAAAAAAAAAAAAAAAAAGAAAGAAAAAGCTTCAGTTCCCTCCTCATCTAACCCTTTCCCCATTTAACCAGATGATCAATTCTTATACCCTTAAACCACTGATCATCATATCATTATGAAATTATTGACTTTTTTTCCCGCCACCAAATGCTCTATTAGGAGAAAAGCCAGTTAGCTGTCACCCTGACAGTTCTGAGTTTTGGGGTCACCAATGTCTCTACTTTTCATTCAACCCACTCTTCCATCAGGGAGGAAACAAGCCCCTCAGTCAACAAATCTAAGTCACAGCAGGAGACCCCAGACCCCTTCTATTAGCTTTAGATCTAGGCCATCTCCCTGCTAGAGTGAAGCTGAGAGTCATTCTGGGCAGGCTGGCTCATCAGCTGAGAGCAACTCTGGGCAGGCTGGCTTTTCAGGTGTGCAAACTGTGCAGGGCTGTGAGCTCAGAAGGGCCCTATATTGGTTTAAGGCTCTGCCGTTGCCATTTTGAAATTATTTTTTGTTTGTTTGGTTTTTTGAGACAGGGTCTCACTCTGTCGTCCAGGCTGGAGTGCAGTGGCACGATTTGAGCTCACTGAAACCTCCGCCTCCTGGGTTCAAGCGATTCTCCTGCCTCAGCCTCCCAAGTAGCTGGGATTACAGGTGCCCGCCTCCATGCCTGGCTAATTTTTGTATTTTTAGTAGAGATGGGGTTTCACCATGTTGCACAGGCTGGTCTTGAGCCCTTGACCTCAGGAGATCTGCCCTCCTTGGCCTCCCAAAGTGCTGGGATTACAGGTGTGAGGCACTGCACCCGGCCTTTGAAATTCTTACTTTTTAATAGAGGCCTCACATTTTTAGTTTGCACTGGATTCCATGAGTTGCATCGCTGGTCCTGGTCAGGCGTGATGACGTCAAGCTTTTATGTTAGTATCTGTGGGGTCACCTGAACAACCTGACCCCATTTCTTCAACCTTCTGCTGAGGCAGAGTAGCTAAGGCCACTTCTTAAATTGAAAGGCTCTTGAACACATTAATCAAAAATGACATCAGATGAAAAAATATACTTGAAAGATAAAAAGGAACTGATAACTGTTAACTCCTAAGAGGAAGTAGTACTTTTTTTTTTTTCTTGAGATGGAGTTTAGCTCTTGTCACCCAGGCTGGAGTGCAATGGCACGATCTTGGCTCACTGCAAACTCTGCCTCCTAGGTTCAAGCGATTCTCCTGCCTCAGCCTCCTGAGTAGTTGGGACTACAGGAGCCCGCCACCACGCCCGGCTAATTTTTTGTTTGTACTAGAGATGGAGTTTCACCATGTTGGATAGGCTGGTCTTGAACTCCTAACCTCAGGTGATTCACCCGTCTCGGCCTCGAGAGAATTACTTTTTACTACATAGCCTTTAACATTACTCAATGTTTACCATCTCTATATATAACCTTTCAAATGAATTTAAGGAAAGATTTTCAATCAACATACCAGTTAGTCTCTCTCTCTCCACCAAGTCGCTTGTTTCCAGAGCAGCTGTCTTTGGCCAGCAAATGTACTGTACTGGATACAACTGTTTTACAGTGCCTCAAAGAGCCCTGAAGAGAAATTACTTCCCATCAGAAAAACTTTCTGATGGGAAATGAAAGAGCCAATAACAGGAGCTGCAAAATTTAGTTGGTTCCCTGTTGCTTTATAAAGACTATTTGGGGCGGGCATGGTGGCTCACGCCTGTAATTCCAACACTCTGGGAGGCCGAGGCAGGTGAATCAGCTGAGGTCAGGAGTTTGAGACCAACCTGGTCAACATGGTGAAACCCTATCTCCACTAAAAATACAAAAATTAGCCAGGTATGGTGGTGCACGCCTGTAGTCCCAGCTACTCGGGAGGTTGAGGCAGGAGAATCACTTGAACCCAGATGGATGTTGCAGTGAGCAAAGATCACGCCACTGCACTCCAGCCTGGGCAACAGAGCAAGGCTCTGTCTAAAAAAAAAAAGAAACAGACTATTTGGATATAGCTGCTGCTTTGGACTTAAAACAATAGCATTTTTCTGTGAACACTCAAGGATAAGAAATTCATGAACAGAAAAAGCAGTAACTGGCTCCTACTTACTTGCAGGGTTAAGAAATGTAAACTATAACACACTGTATATTTGGTGATAGCATCTCACACCTTTGAGCTTTGGACCCTTTCTTATTTTATTTTTATTTTTACTATTATTATTTTTTTGAGACAGAGTTTTGCTCTGTCACTAGGCTGGAGTGCAGTCGTGCAATCTCGGCTCACTGCAACCTCCACCTCCCGGGTTCAAGCAGTTCTCCTGCTCTAGCCTCCCGAGTAGCTGGGATTACAGGCATGCACTGCTACTTCCAGCTAATAAAATTTTGATTTTTTTTTTTTTTTTTTTTTTAGTAGAGACGGGGTTTCACCACGTTGGCCATGCTGGTCTCCATCTCCTGACCTCGTGATCTGCCCGCCTCGGCCTCCCAAAGTGCCGGGATTACAGGTGTGAGCCACGGCAGCTGGCCCCCTTAATTTATAATCACCTTACTCATGATGAATTCCTGGACTTAATGTATCATCATCCCTCATTTATAGAGTTAAATATAGGAAAAAAAAAAAGTGCCCACGCAGAATATATAAGAAAGCCAGCACCTACAAAGGGACTGAAAAATGCTTCTGGTCATTGGTCCAAAAACTATGAAAAAATCTTTTCCTTCTTAATCTCCAGTCAGGGGCCAACAAGTACTCAACAAGCACCCACAGGAACCACAAGCCCTGGTTCAGTCCAACAAGGCAGAGAGGCCTCAGAAGAAAGTCCAAGCCTCATACAAACCTGCACTGACCACCCTGGAGAGATCTACCAATTCCCAGAAGAGCTCTTGTCTGAGAATAGGTGCTAAATGAATTTACATAATGATGGAGTGCGTACAATTTCTAATCAAGATATTGGCAATTTTGCCCAGAGAGAACATAATCTGAGATGCCTGCACTAACTTGTTATATTTATTAACCCATTTATTAACAAGAAGTTGGTGTCCTTTGCTACCAAAAGGGAAGAAAACAAATACGTAGTTACTAAGAAACCAAGTAAGACAAACTAATCAGAATGCAGTTTATTGACAAGATAGGTCACAAATACATCATTTATAAGGAGAGAGGGGACACGAACGAGTCCAAAATCTTATACTCTGCACAGCAGCCCAGCAGGGATGTCCTCTCTAGAGATGGTTTATCAAGGGTACGCCGTGAGAGGGCAGCTCCTGATGCAGCTGCCGGAAGAGCATCGCACACCGGTTCCTCTCCTGAGTCTTCCCCAGGGTGTGGTAGAGTCTGGCCTGGAAGTAAACGACGTCCCTGATTCGCTCTTTGCAGTCAACCTTTGCAAAATAGTTCTTGGCTTCATTGAGGTTCTCAATGGCGGCCTCCAGAGCTGATGGAAAGTGGGGAAAATAACACACACATTTAACTCAACACTTCACATACGGTTTTCAAAACTTGGTATTTAGTTTTATTTGTTCAACAAGTACCAGAAGATTCTTTTATATTCTCCTTTCTTTGAGAGAGAAAAAACAAACCACTCGGTAGGGTGAGGTTTTCAAAAAGGTCTTTAACACTGGGTGCGGTGGCTCACGCCTGTAATCCCAGCACTTTGGGAGGCCGAGGCGGGTGGATCACCTGAGGTCAGGAGTTCGACAGCAGCGTGGCCAACATGGTGAAACCTCGTCTCTACTAAAAATACAAAAATTAGCCAGGTGTGGTGGCGGACACCTGTAATCTCATCTGCTTGGAAGGCTAAGGCAGGAGAATCACTTGAACCAGGAGGCAGAGGTTGCGGTGAGCTGAGATCACGCCACTGTACTCCACCCTGGGTGACAAAGTGAGACTCCACCTCAAAAAAACAAAACAAAACAAAACAAATCAAAACAAAAAAAGCCAGGAACAGTGGCTCATGCCTATAATCCCAGCACTTTGGGAGGCTGAGGTGGGCGGATCACGAGGTCAGGAGTTCAAGATCAGACTGACCAACATGGTGAAAGCCCTACTAAAAATACAAAAATTAGCCGGGCATGGTGGCGTGCGCCTGTATATACTTAGGAGGCTGAGGCAGGAGAATCGCGTGAACCTGGAAGGTGAAGGTTGCAGTGAGCCAAGATCGCGCCACTGCACTCCAGCCTGAGCGACAGAGCGAGACTTTGTCTCAAAAAAAAAAAAAAAGGCCAGGCCTGGTGGCTCACGCCTGTAATCCCAACACTTTAGGAGGCCGAGGCAGGTGGATCACGAGGTCAGGAGATTAAGACCATCCTGGCTAACACGGTGAAACCTTGTCTCTACTAAAAATACAAAAAAAAATTAGCCGGGCATGGTGGCGGGCACCTGTAGTCCCAGCTATTCAGGAGGCTGAGGCAGGAGAATGGTGTGAACCCGGGAGGTGGAGCTTGCAGTGAGCTGAGATCGCACCACTGCACTCCAGCCTGGGCGACTGAGCAAGACTCCGTCTCAAAAAACAAAAACCAAAAACCAAAAAATGGTCTTTAAGTCCTGACTTCTAGCCCGGTACTTGGCTCTATAGGGTTAAAATAACCATTCACTTGTCCTCAGTCTTCCTGCCAATCATGCATGTGAAAGCACTTTAAATGCTGCATGAAATTTTAATATATATTTGTGAACACTCAGAACTTAAATGCTGTTCCAAATTTAATGTCTTTTCTTCTTCTGGGTCCTAAACTTTCAATGCTTTCTGGAATAGCATTGCCCAACAGTCTTTGTACAGCTTCCTACCTTCTGCTTTCTTCGGCTGATCGTAGGAAGCTGCTGAAGCCACCTGGCACTTGGCCACTAAGAACATGGCACGACCTTTGTCCAGGATAGCCCCGTCAGCCAAGATGGGCTCAATGGCCATGTGGAGAAGACTTAAGGCCTGTTCTGGGATTCCAAGAATGAGCTGAAAAAGAAACATTACGGCACTGTACATACCCAAACCCACTGCCCTTCACCAGGAAAGGCTTCGTTTCTGGCAGTTCTCTCCTGAATGGCTATCTCTGGCTTATCTTTTACCTGACATGTATACTACATTAAAACAGGCACCACACTCCTAGAAAACACAATATGTGACAATCTGATTTCAGACTATGACAAATACAGCAGGGAGTGGTTATTCACACTATGGAAAGGTTTCCGTCTTTACAAAAAGATCCAGCATTAATATCCTTTAGCTTGGTGATTCTGAGGAGTTGAACTAGGTGGGAGAAAAGTAACAATTCGGAAAATAGCTCAAAAGAATAGAGCAAAAGAAACAAGAGATTCCCGTTGGTGTTAGTATGTTTAAAAAAAAAAAAAAAAAGAGAATTAAAATGGTACACTAGAGCTGGGCACAGTGGCTCATGCCTATAATCCCAACACTTTGGGAGCATTAGGCAGGAAGGTCACTTGAGGCCAAGAGTTCAAGACCAGCCTGGGCAACATAGCAAGACTCTGTCTCAAAAAACAAATTTAAAACTATTAGCTGGGCATGGTTGCACATGCCTGTAGTCTCAGTTACTCAGGAGGCTGAGGCAGGAGAATCACTTGAGCCCAGGAGGTCAAGGTAGCAGTGAGCCACAATCGTGCCACCGCACTCCAGCCTGGGCAACAGAGCAAGACCTTGTCTCAAAATAAAATAAAACTAGAAAACATCTATTTAACACACAAGAAGGCAGTAATGGAGGAACTGAGGGACAAAAAAGATATGACATATAGAAAACAAGGCAGGTGCAGTGACTCATGTCTGTAATCCCAGCACTTTGGGCAGTGCAGGTGGGTAGATCGCTTGAGGTCAGGGGTTCGAGACCAACCTGGCCAACATGGTGAAACCCTGCCTTTATTAAAATTACAAAAATTAGCCGGGCATAGTGGCGCGTACCTGTAATCCCAGCTACTTGGGTGGCTGAGACAGGAGAATCACTTGAACCCAGGAGGTAATGGATGTGGTGAGCAGAGATTGCACCACTGTACTCCAGCCTGGGTGACAGAGTAAGACTCCATCTCAAAAAAAAAAAAAATCAAATTAGAAATAATGACATTAGATGTAAATGAGTTACACTCGTTTTTTGGTATAACTGAAAAAATGGCTGAAATTGTCAGAAAAAATTTTTTTAAGTATACACTATATGCTGTCTACAAGAGACTCACTTTAGATTAAAAGACACAAATAGTATTTTAAAAATTAGTCAGGCATGATGGTGCTTTCCTGTGGTCCTAGCTACTTGGGAGACTGAGGTGGGAGGATCCCATCAGTCCAGGAGCTCAAGGTCACAGTGAGCTATGATTGCAGCACTGCACTCCAGCCTGGACGACTGAGTGGGACCCTGTCTCTAAAAAAATAAAATAAAGACACAAATAAGCTGAAAGCAAAAGGATAGAAAAATATTCCATGCAAACAATAACCAAAAGAAAGCTGGACTACCTATATGAGTATCACACAAAATAGAGTTTAAGTTAAAAACTGTTGCCTGTAATCCCAGCACTCTGGGAGGCCAAGGCAGGCGGATCACGAGGTCAGCAGATCGAGACCATCCTGGCTAACACAGTGAAACCCCGTCTCTACTAAAAAATACAAAAAATTAGCTGGGCATGGTGGCGGGCGCCTGTAGTCCCAGCTACTCGGGAGGCTGAGGCAGGAGAATGGCGTGAACCTGGGAGGTGGAGCTTGCAGTGAGCCGAGATCACGCCACTGCACTCGAGCACTCCAGCCTGGGTGACACAGCGAGACTCCGTCTCAAAAAACAAACAAAAAAAATTGTTACAAGAGACAAGGAAAAAGGAGGACATTATATACTCATGAAACAGTCGATTCATCAAGATACAACAATTATAAACAAACAAACAACAGTGCTCCAAAACATATGAAACAAAAACTGACAGAATTGAAGGGAGAAATAGACAATTCAACAATGATAGGCCAGGCACAGTATCTCACGTCTGTAATCCCTGCACTTCGGGAAGCTGAGGCATGTGGATCTCTTGATACCAGGAGTTTGAGACCAGCCTGGGTAATATGGCAAAAACCCATCTCTACAAAAATACAGAAAATTAGCTGGCTATGGTAGGGCACACCTGTAATCCCAGATGCTCAGGAGAGTGAGGCGGGAGGGTCACTGGAGCTCTGGCAGTTGAGGGTGCAGTGAGCCATGATTGTGCCACGGCATTCTAGCCTGGGCAACAGAGTGAGACTCTGTCTCAAACAAAATAAAACAAAACAAAAACCAAAATAATAGTTGGGGAGCTCAATATCCCATCTTTTTTTTTTTTTTTTTTTTTTGAGACGGAGTCTCGCTCTGTCGCCCAGGCTGGAGTGCAGTGGCCGGATCTCAGCTCACTGCAAGCTCCGCCTCCCGGGTTCGGGCCATTCTCCTGTCTCAGCCTCCTGAGTAGCTGGGACTACAGGCACCCGCCACCTCGCCCGGCTAGTTTTTTGTATTTTTTAGTAGAGACGGGGTTTCACCGTGTTAGCCAGGATGGTCTCGATCTCCTGACCTCGTGATCCGCCCATCTCGGCCTCCCAAAGTGCTGGGATTACAGGCTTGAGCCACCGCGCCCGGCCAATATCCCATCTTTTAATCACCGATAGAAAAATTAGAAGATCAGCAAGGAAAGAGAAGACCTGAATGACACTACAAATGAACTGGCCCTAACACAGATATATAAAGTATGCCACCCAATGATACATCAGAATACAAGTTATTCTCAAGTGCATATGGAACATTTTCCAGGGTAGACTGTGTTGGGCCACAAAATAACACTCAATAAATTTAAGAAGAATGAAATCATACAAATAATCTTCTCTGATCACATGAAATCAAAAATCAGTAACAGAAGGAAATTAGAAAATTCACAAATATGTGGAAATTAATATACCCTTAAATAACCAATGTGTCAAAGAATAAATCACAAGGGAAATTAGAAAGTGCAATGAGATGTATAAAGATACCAGACTCTGGCTGGGCACAGTGGCTCACGCCTGTAATCTCAGCACCCTGGGAGCTGAGGCAGGTGGATCACCTGAGGGCAGAAGTTCAAGATCAGCCTGGCCAACATGATGAAACCCCATCTCTACTAAAAATACAAAAATTACCCAGGTAGCCAGGCACAGCGGCTCAACACCTGTAATCCCAGCACTTTGGGAGGCCAAGGCAGGCGGATCACGAGGTCAGGAAATTGAGACCATCCTGGCTAACACGATGACACCCCATCTCTACTAAAAATACAAAAAAAAAAAAAAAAACTAGCCAGGTGTGGTAGCATATGCCTGTAGTTCCAGCTACTAGGGAGGCTGAGGCAGAAGAATCACTTGAACCCAGGAGGCGGAGGATGCAGTGAGCTGACATGGCACCACTGCACTCCAGCCTGGGCGACAGAGACAGACTCCGTCTCAAAAAAAAGAAAAAATTACCTGAGTATGGTGGCACGTGTCTGTAATCCCAGCTACCTGGGAGGCTGAGGCAGGAGAATCGCTTGAACTCAGCAGGCAGAGGTTGCAGTGAGCCACTGCACTCCAGCCTGGATGACAGAGCAAGCCTCTGAGTCCAAAAAAAAAAAAAAAAAAAAAATCACAGACTCCAATTTATGAAATTTGTGGGATAAAGTAAAAACTTATGAAATATAGTTCTCAAGAAAATGTGTAACTGTAAAGGCCTATATTATAAAAGAAGGAAAATCTCAAATCAATAAGTGAATCTTCCACCTTAAGAAACTAGAAAAAGAGGCCAGGCGCAGTGGTTCACGCCTGTAATCCCAGCATGTTGGGAGCCAAGGCGGGTGAATCACCTAAGGTTAGGAGTTCAAGGCCAGCCTGGCCAACATGGAGAAACCCCGTCTCTATTAAAATTATAAAAATGACCCGGGCGTAGTGTCATGCGCCTGTGATCCCAGCTACTCGGGAGGCTGAGGTAGGAGAATTGCTTGAATCTGGGAGGCAGAGGTTGTAGTGAGCCAAGATTGCACCATTGCACTCCAGCCTGGGTGACAAGAGCTAAATTCCATCTCAAAAAAAAAAAAAAGGAAGAAAGAAACTGGAAAATGAAAAGCAAACTAGACTTAAAGCTAACTAACAGAACCAAGGAAAAAATAAGGATTAAAGTGAAGATAAACAAAATGGAGACTAAGAGAACAACAGAGAGAATCAATAAAACTAAAAGTTGGTTATTTGAAGAGATCAACAAAATTGACAAACTGTTAGACTGACCAAGAAAAAAAAGAGAGAAGACTCAAATGACTGAAGTCAGGGACAACAGTGTGGACTTTACTAACAACCTTACAAAAGTCAAATGGATTATACAAGAATACCATGAACAATTCTATGCAAGAAATTAGATAAACTACATAAAATGAACAAATTTCTAGAAAGACCAAACTACTAAAATGGACTCAAGAAGAAACAGGAAATCCGAATAGACCTATAACAACTAAAGAGACTGAATTAGTAACCAAAAAACTTCCAACAAAGAAAAGCCCAGGGCCAGACTGCTTCACTGGTGAATTTTACCAAACTTTTAAAGAATTAACACCAATCCTCAAATTCTTCCCAAAAAAAGGAGAGGAGAGAATACTTCCTTACCCATTTTGTGGGGCCACTATTACCCTAATACTAAAGCCAAAGGAAGATATCACAAGAAAACTACAGATCAATCAACATCCCTTATGAATACAGATGCAAAAATTATCAACAAAATACTTGCAAACCAAATCCAACAGCATGTTAAAAAGATCATACACTTTGATCATGTGAAATTTATTCCAGGAATGCAAGGTAATTCAATCCACAAATATAACATATAAATAAAGTGAAAGAAAAAATCGGGCTGGGCACTGTGGCTCACACCTGCAATCCCAGCACCTTGGGAGGCAGAGGTGGGTGGATCACGAGGCCAGGAGTTCGAGACCAGACTGGCCAACGTGCCAAAACTCTGTCTCTACTAAAATACAAAAATTAGCAGGGCGTGGTGGTGCACACCTGTGATCCCAGCTACTTGGGAGGCTAAGGCACAAGAATTGTTTGAACCTGGGAGACAGAAGTTACAGTGAACTAAGATTGCGCCACTGCACTCCAGCCTAGGCAACAGAGAGACACCCTGTCTCAAAAACAAACACACACAAAAAAATATGATCAAATCAATCAATGCAGAAAAAACACTTGACAAAATCTAATACCTTTTCATGAAAAAAAAAATAAACTAGGAGTAGAGGGAACTTCCTCAACCTCTACAAAAAACCCACAGCGAGCATGACATTTGATGATGAAAGACTGAAAGCTTTCCCCCTACAGTAACAAAATAAGAACATGCTTTTTTTTTTTTTTTTTTTTTTTTTGAGACGGAGTCTCGCTATTGCCCAATCTGTAGTACAGTGGCATGATCTCAGTTCACTGCAACCTCCACCTCCTGGGTTCAAGCAATTCTCAGTCCTCAGCCTACCTAGTAGCTGGGATTACAGGCATGCACCACCACCACACCCAGCTAATTTTTCTATTTTTAGTAGAGACGAGGTTTCACCATGTTGTCCAGGCTGGTCTCGAACTCCTGGCCTTAAGTAATCTGCCTCGGCCTCTCAAAGTGCTGGGATTATAGGTGTGAGACAGTGAGTCCAGCCAAGACACACACTCATGCCACATTTATTCAACATATATTGGAAGTTTTACTCAAAGCATTTAAGCAAGAAAAAGAAATAAAGGCATCTAAGTGGGAATGGATGAGGTAAAACTATCTCTATTTGCAGATGACATGATCTTATACATACAAAACCATAAAAAATCTCCAAAACCTGTTACTGGTAATAAGTTTGGCAAAGTTACAGGATATAAGATCAATATACACTAACAATGAGCAATCCAAAAATAAATTTTTAAAAACATTTCATTTAAATTACCATCAGAAAGAATAAAATACTTAGGAACAAATTTAACCAAGGAAGTGAAAGACTTATACACAGAAAGCTACAAAACATTGTTGAAGTAAATTAAAGATCCAAGTAAATGGAAAGACACCCTGTGTTCATGGGTTGGAAGACAATAGTATTAAGATGGCAATATTCTCCAAACTGACCTACAGATTCAAATACAATCCCTATCAAAATTACAACTACTGTTTTTGCAGAAATGAACAAGCTAATTCTAAAATCAACATATAATTGCAAGGGATGCTGAATAGCCAAAACAATCCTGAAAAAGAACAAAGAAGACTCCCACCTCCTAATTTCAAAACTTAGTACAAAGCTATAGTAATCAAAACAATGTGGTACTGGCATAAGGATAACATATAGATCAAGGGAATAGAATTCAGAGTCCAGAAATAAATCTATATATTTACAATCAATTTTTTTTATTTGATCAATTGGTTTCTAACCGGGGTGCCAAAACCATTAAATGGGGAAAGAAAAGTCTTCAACAAATGGTGCCAGAATAACCTATATCTGCATGCAGCAGAGTAAGAGTGGAGCCCTATCTCATAGTATATATAAACTCAAAATTATTCAGATTTAAACATAAGCATTAAAACTATAATACTGTTAGAAGAAAACATAGAAGAAAATCTTGATGACATTAGATTTGTCAGTATATTGGATATGATACCAAAAGCATAAGCAACAAAATAAAAATAAGTTGGACTTCATAAAAACTTTAAACTTTTGTATATCAAAAGACACTATCAAGAAAGTGAAAAGACCAAACACAGAATAGGAGAAAATATTTGCAAATTATATATCTGATAAGGGTCCAGTATCCACAATATATAAATAATTTTTACAAGTGAACATCAAAAAGACAACTCAGAAAACAGGCAAAGGATCTGAATAGACGTTTCTCCAAAGAACATATGCAAATGGTCAATAAGCACATGAAAAGATACTCAACATCATTAGTCATTAGAGAAATGCATATTAAAACCACAATGAGACACCAATTCATACCCACTAAGAAGGATATAATAATAAAAAATGGAAAATAACAAGGGTTGGCAAGATTGTGGAGATATTGGAACCCTTACACATTGCTGGTTGAAAGAAAATGGTACAGCCACTGTGGCATTTCCTTAAGAAGTTAAACACAAAATTATCATGACTCAGCAATTCCATTCATAGGCATCAAATGAAAACAGGTATTCAAACAAAAACTTGTACAGAAATGGTAAGAGCCGCTATTTATAATAGCCAAAAGGTGGAAAAGACCCAAATGTCCATCAGCTGATGAATGGATAAGCAAAATGTGATCTAACCATACAGTGAAATATTATTCAGCCATGAAAAAGAATGAAGCACTGATACCTATTACTACACGGATAAAACCTGAAAACATCAAGCTAAGTAAAAGAAGCCAATCAAAAAAAGCCACATTTATATGAGCCTGATTATGCAAATTGTTCAGCAGAGGCAAACTCACAGAGACAGAAAGCAGTTAGAGGTCACCAGAGGCCAGGGGAAGGGAGGACTGGGGAAGGCCTGCTTCATGGGTACAGTTTCCTTTTTTGTGTAATGAAAATAGTCTGAAATTAGACAGCAGTTATGGTTGCACAATGTTGTCAATACTCTCAAAACCACTGAAATGTACACTTTAAAATGGTTAAAATGGTAAATCTCATATTATGTACTTTTTTTTTTGGAGACGGAGTCTCACTCTGTTGCCCAGGCTGGAGTACAGTGGCACGATCCCAGCTCATTGCAACCTCCGCCTCCCAGGGTCAAGTGATTCTCCTGCCTTCTCCTGCCTCAGCCTCCTGAGTGGCTGGGATTACAGGCATGTGCCACCATGCCTGGCTAATTTTTGTATTTTTGTATTTTTTTTTTTTTTGAGACGGAGTCTCGCTCTGTCGCCCGGGCTGGAGTGCAGTGGCCGGATCTCAGCTCACTGCAAGCTCCGCCTCCCGGGTTCGGGCCATTCTCCTGTCTCAGCCTCCTGAGTAGCTGGGACTACAGGCACCCGCCACCTCGCCCGGCTAGTTTTTTGTATTTTTTTTAGTAGAGACGGGGTTTCACCGTGTTAGCCAGGATGGTCTCGATCTCCTGACCTCATGATCCGCCCGCCTCGGCCTCCCAGAGTGCTGGGATTACAGGCTTGAGCCACCGCGCCCGGCCAATTTTTGTATTTTTAGTAGAGATGGGGTTTCACCATGCTGGCCAGGCCAGTCTCGAACTCCTGACCTTGTGACCTGCCCGCCTCGGCCTCCCACAGTGCTGGGATTACAGGCGTGAGCCACTACGCCTGGCCATGTACATTTTATCTCAAGAAAAAAACAAAAAAAGAATCTCTAAGGAAGGCGGTAAGAAACAGATTCCTTAGCTCCACCCCTAGAGATTCTGACTCCGTAGGTCTGAGGCAAGTCCTCAGGTATGAAGATATTTTTTAAATCTCCACAATAATTCTAATGTACAGCCAGTTTGGAGACCTCCCCTTTAATTAATAAATTCTTGCAAGAGTTTGACCTTCACTCATTCATTGATTAATATTTATTGAAAGCCTTCTATGTGTAGGGCCTATAAGGTACCAGGGAATATAGATGAAAATGAAGAGTCAATTCCTTCGTGGCCTTTACTAAGGGAGAAAGAAAACAAACATAAAATACAATTTGATTTCCAAAAGTTTTCAATGAACATCCGTGTTCCTCATTTCTTTATTCACTCCCCCTTGTTGCTAAATCAAGCATCACTCTGTGTCAGCTAATCATTAATATGAGGCAGGTGTTCTCACTAAAGAGGCAAGTCCCCCTTACTGAATACACAGCTCAGGAAAGCCAGCGCCACTGGAAGGTGTCAGTTAGCCACCACATTCACACCTCCACAGGCTTCTTTGGAGGGCTAGCACATGAAGACTACCTTTCCAGACTTCAATATGAACAAATGAAAACTCATTATTATCCTTTCAATACTCAAAAGTAGTCACAGACTCACCAGCTCCTGAGCACAAATATGTGCTATAAAAACAGAGATCGACTTACCTGCGCAAAAGCCAAGTTCAGCACCGTTTCAGAGGCCAAGTATTGTAACCGGTACTCCTTGGAGAGGGCCAAGGCCTGCAGGAGCATGGGCAGCGCGATGGTAGGGGAGGAAGATCGCCAGTACAGCTCTGCCACGGACAGTAGGACACTGACCGTAAAGAGGAAAACACAGGATGAGAAGATCCACCACCATGTCTCCGTGAGATGCACAAGAGACCCCTTACCTGATCACCATTTCTGTGTTCTTCAGTTTCTGACAATGAACCAACAATTTTTGTAAAAGCTTATGTGCCTCTGACATTTGGTTCTGAGCTTGTAATACAACCGCTTTCCTGAAACAGAATCAAAATGAACACAAATATTTTAACTAGTCACTTTGAGGGTAAGAATCGCTATTTATTCAATTAGACTATAAACCTCCCAAGGGGAAAAACTGTGCCTGATTTAATTTTTGTTGAAAGAATAAAGTGTATGCGTGTATGAATGTGTGTGTAAGCATGTATGTGAGCATGCTGTGTATACACACATACATATATGCAGGCAGGAAAAATTCTGGAATTATAGATAACAGCATGTTAATGATTATCTCTGGGAGATACTTATTTTCTTAATTTTACTTGTCTGTATTTTCTTTTTTCTTTTTTTTTTTTTATGGAGACAGAGTCTCACTCTGTTGCCCAGGCTGGAGTGCAGTGATGCGATCTTGATTCACTGCAACCTCCGCCTTGTGGGTTCAAGCAATTATCCTCCCTCAGCCTCCCAAGTAGCTGGGATTACAGGTGCCTACCACACTTCGCTAATTTTTTGTATTTTTAGTAGAGACAGGGTTTCACCATGTTGGCCAGGCTGGTCGCAAACTCCTGACCTCAAGTGATGCGCCCACCTCAGCCTCCCAAAGTTCTGGAATTACAGGTGTGAGCCACCACGCCCAGCTGCTTATCTGTATTTTCTTATTCCCAGTAATAAATAGGAAAAAAAGTTTTTTTCTAAGCTAAAATAAGTTAATGCACATATAAAACAAAAACAAAACCATTTACCAATTATTTTATTCTGGGATTAGATTTTCAAGGTTTCTTACCTATAAACACCCTCTATGCTATTGAGAGCTGTGATTCCTGTAACAAGTGAATCAGCCAAATGATATTTGCCATCATTCATTGCTCTGTCAAACTGTATTTTTTGATCACATAGCATCCATAACTAGTAAGAAAAAAAAAACACAATTAAGTACAAAATGGCAAATGTTTATCTTACTCAATGAGTATATAAAAATATTTTGGATTGCTTAGCAAATACCCTTACAATAATTCACTCACATTCTTTTTTGGGGGTATTTAAAATTTTTAAAAAATATCTCAAGTATGTGAAAAAGCACAGAGAATAAAACAGTAGATAGATGTGTGCCAACCATCAACTTTGTCAACTCACATTTTGCTTTATCTGCTTCATATACTATTAGATACCGATGAAGTCCTTTGCAAATTCTACTTCCCTTTCTCTTTTTTCAAAGTAGGCACTCAATTTGGTATTTATCATTCTTATTCATGTTTTTTATACTTTTTTTTTTTTTTTTTTTTTGAGACAGAGTCTCGCTCTGTCGCCCAGGCTGGAGTGCAGTGGCGCAATCTCGGCTCACTGCAAGCTCCGCCTCCCGGGTTCACGCCATTCTCCTGCCTCAGCCTCCTGAGTAGCTGGGACTACAGGCGCCCGCCACCGCGCCCGGCTAATTTTTTGTATTTTTAGTAGAAACGGGGTTTCACCGTGGTCTCGATTTCCTGACCTTGTGATCCGCCCGCCTCGGCCTCCCAAAGTGCTGGGATTACAGGCGTGAGCCACCGCGCCCGGCCTAATGTTTTTTATACTTTTACAACATATACACTTGTCTTTAAACAACATAGAGTGTAAGCCTGTGTTTTTAAACTTTGTATAAGTAATATCATACTTGTAAACATCCTTTGACAAGTTCCTTTTTAGCTCAATATTATTTTTCTGAGGGGAGATTATATCCCACTTTATATTATAATAAAAGCTATTATTATCAGAAATAAATCTAATACCATGCAAAAGGCAGATTACCTGGGCGTGCTGACTATTAGGCGGAAATCGTTCCTTCAAGTGCTTTAACACTTCAGAAGCTGCAGCAAAACAGCCCTAAAGTAGAAAGACACAATTTGATCAGCATAACCTGTGTTGAAGCCACACCTGCTGCACCATGCACAGACGGTGACAGATTCACCTGTTCTTGGTGCAGCACCCTGAGAGAGACTGGTCAGAGACTCAAATTTCTTTCTTTTTTTTTTTTTTTTTGAGAGAGAGTCTCGCTCTGCTGCCCAGGCTGGGGTGCAGTGGCACCATCTTGGCTCACTGCAAGCTCCGCCTCCCGGGTTCATGCCATTCTCTTGTCTCAGCCTCCCCAGTAGCTGGGACCACAGGCGCCCGTCACCATGCCCGGTTAATTTTTTTGTATTTTTAGTAGAGACGGGGTTTCACTGTGCTAGCCAGGATGGTCTCAATCTCCTGACCTCGTGATCCGCCCACCTCGGCCTCTCAAAGTGCTGGAATTACAGGCGTGAGCCACTGTGTCCGGCCAGAGACTCAAATTTCTAAGGGCCATTTTTAAAAGACTAATACATTTTATTTTTTAAAAAATTTCAAGGCCAGGCATGGTGGCTCACACCTGTAATCCCAGCACTTTGGGAGGCCAAGACGGGTGGATCCCCTGAGGTCGGGAGTTCAAGACCAGCCTGACCAACATGGAGAAATCCCGTCTCTACTGATAATACAAAATTATCTGGGCATGGTGGCTCATGCCTGTAGTCCCAGCTACTTGGGAGGCTGAGGCAGGAGAATCGCTTGAACCCGGGAGGCAGAGGTTGCAGTGCACCAAGATCGTGCCATTGCACTCTAGCCTAGGCAACAAGAGCGAAACTCCATCTCAAAAAAAAAAATTTTTTTTAAATTACACACATAAGACATATCCATTCTAGGAAAACACTTACAAAATACATGTAAACAAGAACAGACAAATTACTTTTTTCTTTTCTTTTCTTTTCTTTTTTTTTTTGAGACAGGTCTTGCTGTTTCCCAGTCCGGAGTGCAATGGCTTGATCTCAGCTCACTGCAGCCTCAAATTCCTAGGCTCAATCAATCCTCTCATCTCAGCCTCCCGAGTAGCAGGGAATACAGGTGCATGCCACCACACCTGGCTACACAAAATACTTTTTTTTTTTTTTTTTTTGAGACAGAATCTTGCTCTGTCATCCAGGCTGGAGTGCAGTGGCGTGAGCTTGACTCACTGCAACCTCCTCCTCCTGGGTTCTAGCAATTCTGATGCCTTAGCCCCCACCTCCCAAATAGCTACAAATACAGGCATGTGCCATCATACTCAGCTAATTTTTGCACTTTTAGTAGAGGCAGGGTTTTGCCATGTTTGGCCAGGCTGGTCTCAAACTCCCGGCCTCAAGCAATCCACCCACCTCAGCCTCCTCAAGTGCTGGGATTACAGGCATGAGCCAATGTGCCCAGCTGACAAATTACTTTTGGGTTTTTTTTGTTGTTGTTGTTTTTATTGTTTGTTTTGGTTTTTTTTTTTTGAGACAGTCTCACTCTGTCGCCTAGGCTGGAGTGCAATGGCGAGATCTCGGCTCACTGCAACCTCTGCCTCCCAGGTTCAAGCAATTCTCCTGCCTCAGCCTCCCAAGTAGCTGGGACTACAGGCACACGCCACCATGCCCAGCTAATTTTTGTATTTTTAGTAGAGACAGGATTTCACCATGTTGGTCAGGCTGATCTCAAACTCCCGACCTCGTAATCTGCCCACCTCGGCCTCCCAAAGTGCTGGGATTACAGGCTTGAGCCACCACACCTGGTGACAAATTACTTTTAATCTCAGAAAAGATAATCACAATTAATGTTGTGGCATATCTCCCATGCTTCTTTTATGCACATAAACTGAAAATATATAATTATTCCAAAAATAATTATATATATATTTTTTGAGACAGAGTCTCACTGTCTCACCCAGGCTGGAGTGCAGTGGTGCGGTCTCAGTTCACTGCAACCTCCACCTCCCAAGTTCAAGCAATTCTCCTGCTCCAGCCTCCCGAGTAGCTGGGATTACAGGCATACACCACCACACCCAGCTAATTTTTATATTTTTAGTAGAGACAGGGTTTCATCATGTTGGCCAGTCTGGTCTCGAACTCCTGACCTCAGGTGATCTCCCCACCTCAGCCTCACAAAATGCTGGGATTACAGGCATGAGCCACCACGCCCGGCTTACATATATTTTTATAAATTACTTATAACACTGTTTACCACATGGTAGGCATCCAATGAATATTTGTTGAATGAATAAATCTTTCAATGTCAATAAATACAGATCTGTATCATCATAGTATTTTATCGGGTAAATCAATTATGGTACATGAAAATAATCTCCTAGTTTTTGATATTTTGGTTATTTCTAATATTTTCCATTTAAAAAATGCTACAATGAATATCTTGGTGCACACAGCTTTGCATACTTGTCCAATTATTTCCTTAGCATAAAACCTTAGAAATAGGCTGGATGCAGTGGTCACGCCTATAATCCCAGCACTCTGGGAGGCCAAGGAGGGCAGATCACTTGAGGCCAGGAGTTTGAGACCAGCCTGGCCAACATGGTGAAACCTCGTCTCTACTAAAAGTACAAAAAAACTAGTCAGGCGTGGTGGCATGCGCCTGTAATCCCAGCTACTCAGGATGCAAAGGCAGGAGAATTGCTTGAACCCAGGAGGCAGAGGTTGCAGTGAGCCGAGATCACGCCACTGCACTCTAGCCTTGGCCCCAGAGCGAAACTCTATCTCAAAAACAAAACAACAACAAACAAACAAACAAAAAACCTTAGAAGTAGAAATGACAGGCACTTTTAAGTTCCTTGAGATATATTACTAAATTACCCTATAGAAATGTACCAAGTACTTTCATACCAAAACTCTATGTGCTTTTCTTCCCCTAATACTGAAGTATCTTTGCTTATATAATTGGTGAAAGTAGTACCTTAACTGCTTTAAATTTAATTTCAACGACTAGATTGAAATGTTTTCATGTTTTTGGGCCATGCTTTTTCTGTGAATATACATTCATCACTTTTTTAATACTCTTATATTGTTGGGATGTTTATCTTTTTTTTTTTTTTTTTTTTTGAGACAAGGTTTTGCTCTACTGCCCAGGCTGGAGTGTAGTGATGCAATCTCAGCTCATTGCAACCTCTGCCTCCTAGGCTCAAGTAATCCTCCCACCTCAGCCTCCCTAGTAGCTGGAACTACAGCCGTGCGCCACCACACACCACATCCAGCTAATTTTTGTATATTTTGTAGATACGGGGTTTCGCCATGTTGCATAGGCTGGTCTCAAACTCCTGAGCTCAAGTGATTTGCCTGCTTCAGCCTCCCAAAGTGCTGGGATTACAAGTATAAAGATAAACAGCGCCCAGCTGGGAGGTTTATCTTATTGATCCTGAAATCTTTTCAATTTGTCTCAATCCTTTCATGAGGTAATGCTCTTTTTGTCTACATAGAAGCTCAGGCCACAAGTGGACTTTTATTTGAAGTGAGTAAGCAGAAATTACATTGAATTACAACAAAAGATCATTATTCCTGTGATTTTAACTGGCCAGTCTCACCAATTATTTTCATGACTGCCACACAGAGTCGGGCATGGGGATACAGATCCTGCAGTATCCCCCAAAAACATTCCCATTGTGGCCTACAATTCCTGAGACTGAGAGAGGAATGATATAAGATGAGCTAGAATTACACAGAAAGAGAAAAGGAGAATGGTTATCTTAGAGAAGGAATTCACTCTACTTCTCTGGGTTGCAAGAGGAAGCTCAGAATGCAGTTCTGAGCTCCATAACTTATTTATAGGCTTACCAAAACCCCAATTACTCCCATACCACAAAACAAAGTGCACCATGAAATTGACTTGGAGGAAAGTTTCAGAAGCAGATACAAAAGAAATAAAAGAGTAACTGGAGACTCATGATAAAGTTGCCTTCTCTGCAGCTGGCCAAACTTAATTTCACAGGTGCGAGTCTAACTTGTCTAATTAAAAATGTGACAGTCATCAGCCCAGTAAGTATATATATCCACATGGCTGATGTTCTAAAACTAGAAAGATCTAAGGCAAGATGAAGAAAAGGGTAAAGGACTGACTTAAAACAAAAAGGCAGCTACCTTCTAGTTGTGTACTAAAAGGCTTCCTAACACACCCTGGCTGTTGAAGCCAAACAATGATTGGATCAGCAGGTTTTTCACATAAGCCCAGAGGTGAAAGGGGGATGCAGATGGCATTACTAATAGAGACCCAAAGAGCATGGTTACTTTTTAGGGTCTTACTCCCAGGAAAAAAACACAAAATTCTAACAAATGGCCTTGGACAAAGTTACAAAGCTAAAGAATTGAGCCACAAGGCACTGTGACTCACACCTGTAATTCTAACACTTTGGGAGGCCAAGGCAGGAGGATCACTTGAGGCCAGGAGTTCAAGGCCAGCCTGGGCAACACAACACAGAAAGATTCCATCTCTAAGAAACAAGAATTAAAATAATTAGCTGGGTGAGGTGGTGTGCACCTATAGTCCCAGCTACTGGACAGGTTGAGGTGGAGTTCAAGGCTGCTGTGAGCTCTGATTGTGCCACTGCACTCCATCCTGGGCAACAGTGAGACTCCATCTCTTAAAAAAATAAAAAATACACTGGGTGTGGTAATCCCAACACTGTGAAGCTGAAGTGGGAGGACTGCTTGAGCCCAGAAGTTTGAGACTAGCCTGGGCAACATAGTGAGATTCCATCTCTACAAAATGATATTTTAATTAACTGTGTGGTCGCATGCTCCTGTAGTCTCAGCTACTGAGGAGGCTGAGGTGGGAGGATCACTTGAGCCCAAAAGGTTGAGGCTGCAGTTTGCTGTGATTGCACCACTACACTCCAGCCCTGGTGATAGAGCGAGACCCTGTCTCAAAAAAAATTAAAAATTGGCTGGGCACGGTGGCTAACGCCTGTAATCCCAACAATTTGGGAAGCTGAGGTGGATGGATCATTTGAGATCAGGAGTTTGAGACCAGCTTGGCCAACATGGTAAGAACCCATCTCTACAAAAAATACAAAAATTAGCTGGGTGTAGTGACACACACCTGTAATCCTAGCTACTTGGGAGGCTGAGGTAGGAGAATCACTTGAACCCAGGAGGTGGAGGTTGCAATGAGCTGAGATCGCACCATTGCACTCCAGCCTAGGTGACAGGGTGAGACTCCCTCTCAAAAAAATAAAATTAAATTAAAAATAAATTTAAAATTAAAAATAAAAAAAAAGAATTGAACCAAGACTAAGGTTTTTGAAAAGTAGTTTTCTATTCTAATAGTAAAAAATAATAATTTTGCCAGGCACAGTGGCTCACATCTATAATCCTAGCACTTTGGGAGGCTGAGGAAGCAGATCACATGAGGCTAGAAGTTTGAGACTATCCTGGCCAACATGGTGAAATCTCATCTCTACTAAAAATACAAAAATTAGCCGGGTATAGTGGTGTACACCTGTAGTCCCAGCTATTCGGGAGACTGAGAAACGAGAATTGCTTGAACCCCAGAGGCGGAGGTTGCAGTGAGCCAAGATCATGCCACTGCACTCCAGCCTGGGTGACAGAGCAAGACTCTGTCTCAAAAAAAACTAAATATTGGCCAGGCATGGTGGCTTATGCCTGTAATCCCAGCACTTTGGGAGGCCGAAGTGGGTGGATCACGAGGTCAAGAGATAGAGACCATCCTGGCCAACGTGGTGAAACCCCGTCTCTACTAAAAATACAAAAAAATAGGCTGGTGGCATGGTGATGGGCATGGTGATGGGTGCCTGTAGTCCCAGCTACTTGGGAGGCTGAGGCAGGAAAATGGTGTGAACCTGGGAGGCAGAGCTTGCAGTGAGCCGAGATTGAGCCACTGCACTCCAGCCTGGGTGACAGAAAGAGACTCTGTCTCAAAAAAAAAAAAAACAAAACACCTAAATACTTCAATATGTTCACCAACTCATTCATTACCAGATGCTCCTCTTATCCATGGCACCAGGAAAGAAAGTGAAGTGATGTTAAAGAGGTGCCAGTGCCACAAAGAGGGAAGAAACAAGCGAGAGACAAACCTGCAACATTCCCGGGGGGAAGGCAACCAGCCAGCCCTTTCAACCTCAGAAAACACAGGCGGTGCTTCCCAGGCACGGGAAGAAACCAGCTGGCAAAGCGCCATGGAACCCATCAGTCAGGGCCCATCCACCCCTCAGTTTACACAGCCATGTAAGAGACTGTAAAATGCTAACATGTTTGCTATAGGGAAGTATTTCTAGACCTCTGAAAGGAGTGGAAATCACTCAAAAATCTTTAGGCTGCAATTAGGGAAATATTGAGTATTATGATGCAATCTAACAGTAACAGGTATCACAAAGAGGAAGAGAAAAATATGATCAAGGAAATGTCTGGATTGCCACGGCAGTGTTTAGTGAGATGGAGGGCTTTAGATAAAATAGCTTTCCCTGACTCTTTCCCATGAAAGAAGACATTTTGAACAAAGGGAAGATAAAGCCTACAGTAGCAGAAGAGATACACTAATTGATCCCATATAAAGAGAATCTCGTCAGATTACTTGGGCTGGAAGTCATCAAGATTATGTCCCATTCCCACTGCTCTTTTTTAGAGTCAACCAGGTTTGGGTTGGAAACCTGTCTCTGACATTTATGGGTGTTGGATACAGGATTTAGCTCCCACGACCTCAGTCTTTAGTTCTGTGAAACAAGGATAACAACAAACCTGAGCCTATGAAGTGGATTCTATAAGACAGTACACATAAAATAGGCACAGGGACTGGCACAGAAGAAATTTACAACCAACATTAGTTATTATGATCTCAGCTATACTTCTATTATACTCTCCTCTCTCCTAAAACACACAAACCTCTACTACCTTAAATGTCAAAGAATCCTATTTATTTCCTTAGTTACATGAAACTGGCTGACCTCTTAGAATTCCCTTCACTGATGCCAAAAAAACACCCCAAATTCAAACAACTTTGCAGACTCCACACTTGGTCCCCTTCCACTGGTGGGGTTTCACTCTTTCAGCCACATCGTTGAGCAGACCTGTCCAACACGTGTCCAGTGCTTTCCTCAAGCACTAGAGGAGAGAAATGGTAGAGCCTCCATTGCCCCAGAAGCACGTGGCCCGGCCACCTGCCTACCTGCTCCGCGTGTAGCTCTGCGAGGTGGCAGAGTGCGACAGCAAAGGACTCCGTGTTGTTCTGCTGCACGCCCGCATTCACCGCCTCCAGGCTGTTCATGCTCAGCAACATCTGGGCCTGTTGCAGGGCCATGGTGCTGGGTGGGGAGAGGGAACAGGATTTCCTTTCAGCAGCAGACCTGGCTGCCCTTTGGCCATGCCCGTCAGCTATCTTGAGTGGAGGCGTAAAGTCAAACACCTCACAGGCTCTGGCTTTCTTGGGAGCAGCTGCCTCCCAGTGCCAGCAACCCTGCCCTCAGGATAAGAAAAGCAGAAAAGCATCCTGGATGTGCAGCGCGAGGAGACACGTAGTGGTTAGGGCACAGCTGGGAGTGCGTGCTCCCAGATCCCCCCGCCCCCACCCCCATGGTCCCTGCAGTCATAGTATGTTAATTAGTTTTCACGGGTGAATTCAGACCCGATGCCATCCTGGCACAGGCTGCTCTGGCAATGTAAGCAGTGGCCAGTGTCTGCAGCTGTTTCAGAGCACATCGTGCCAAAAAATTATCTGAAATACAAAAACAAGACTGGTAAAAAAAGGCACTTCCTTTCATTACTGAATTCCTAGAAACAGACTGTCTAAGTGAGGGGTGAGGTAGCAACAGAACTCCAGGATTAAAATCCCGCAACAAAGTTTACTTCCAGGCTAAAAGTGGCTAAATGGGAAAGTACGCAAGAAGCTGAAAATATTCCACAGAAAACACCTCAGTTAACAGAAAAGCAAGTTTCTTTACATAATAGCTTTGGGGTTCAGGTGACACTCAACTAGAGCAACCATGGATCATGCCTGCTATGAACAGGAAGAAAGGTTCCTGTCACAGAGCAGAGGAGCCCGGTGCTTGGAGTCAGATGACATGGGTTTGAGTCCTTTCTCTGTCACTTGTTAACTGCGTTTGCAATCTCGGGTAGATCAGATGTGTGAACCTTGGTTTACTCTCCCAGCATGGAGATCACCCACCCGTTACCTCACAGAGTGGTTGGGAGGAGTAAGAAGGAACATGCATGGGAAAAAACTTTTCAGTCTGTGCAAAATACAAAATGTTTTAGACTATAAAACATTTTGTCTAATCCCCTGCAGGAACAACGTCTGCCCAAGGCGGGTAAATCTTGTATGTACGGCCTTTCACAGAACCAGTTTGCTAGCTCCTGCTTCTCTCTAAAGGATTTACACCCCCAGGGCCTTGGGAGACCTACCTGCGGCCATACAGCCTCCAGATGGCCGTTTTCTGTGCGATGCTGATATCAATGAGCTCTGACAGGCTGTGTTTCCAGTGCAGGAGGTCGGAGTCCTTTAGGGCATCCATCAGCTTGTTTGCCGTCTTCCCAGCAAAAGCTCTCTGTTGAACAAGGGACTGTATTCCCAGGGAGGCGAGGTACTAAGGGGACAGATATACCCACGACCCAAGATAGAGATTACATGACAGAATTTGTTTTGCTCTTCAGAAATGTGGTGGATTTCACATTTCAGCACATGCACAGTGACAGCACTATTTAAAAGGAAAGTACCTATAACCTGGCCTTAACCCTGATCCATACGAGATGTGTTCCTGAAAAACTGGGTCTGGGAGAGAGGCAGAGGGTACACGGGAAAGAGCCAGCAGGGCTTTAGCATTAGATGGACCTGGACTTAAACACTGCCTCTGCTACTTACTGTGTGACTTAGGGCCAGTCACTTAGCTTCTTAGCTAAGCCTCAGCTTCCTCATCTGTAAAATGGGCATCAAACCTATCATAAAGAATTATCGTAAGGATTACAATGAAATAATAGATGTCAAACAGTGCTGTGCACATATGTAATAGGAGATCAAAAAAGGATGCCTATCATGAGCAACAAAATTATCTTGTCATTAACTTTTGGTGTCATCTTCAAGGATGAAAGCTCAACTAAAAAATGCCAGCTTAGGCCGGGCGCGGTGGCTCAAGCCTGTAATCCCAGCACTTTGGGAGGCCGAGACGGGTGGATCACTAGGTCAGGAGATCGAGACCATCCTGGCTAACACAGTGAAACCCCGTCTCTACTAAAAAATACAAAAAACTAGCCGGGCGAGGTGGTGGGCGCCTGTAGTCCCAGCTACTCGGGAGGCTGAGGCAGGAGAATGGCGTAAACCCGGGAGGCGGAGCTTGCAGTGAGCTGAGATGTGGCCACTGCACTCCAGCCTGGGGGACAGAGCAAGACTCCGTCTCAAAAAAAAAAAAAAAAAAAAAAAATGCCAGCTTAAATTCATGGCAAAAATTGTAGTTAAGCCTACACTTAGTTCAAGGAGCCACTTTTGTCATTATAATCAATTCTGTATGTATAAGTTTCTTTCCCAGGTGTGAATCAAAGGACAAGCTACAGATTTGTTTTTTGGTTTTTGGGTGTTTTTTGAGATGGAGTCTTGCTCTGTCACCCAGGCTGGAGTGCGGTGCCGCAATCTTGGCTCACTGCAACCTCCGCCTCCCTGGTTCAAGCAATTCTTCTGCCTCAGCCTCCCAACTAGCTGGGACTACAGGCGCCCGCCACCACGCCCGGCTAATTTTTGTATTTTTAGTAGAGACGAGCTTTTACCATACTGGTCAGGCTGGTCTCAAACTCCTGACGTCATGATCCACCCGCCTTGGCCTCCCAAAGTGCTGGGATTACAGGCGTGAGCCACCGCGCCAGGCCCAGATTTTAAAGTGTATACATTAAATTACTACACATAATTACTTTCTATTTTACCAAAGTCTGTCACAAACTTCATAAGACAGAATGCTTAAGCAGTCCCACTGCCTATGGTCTAGTTTTCAATAGGTGTTTCTGAGAATAAGGTTCTCCAAGCTTGTGCTTCCTTTTTTTTTGAGATGGAATTTCATTCTTGTTGTCCAGGCTGGAGTGCAATGGCGCAATCTCGGCTCACTGCAACCTCCGCCTCCCAGGTTCAAGCGATTCTCCTGCCTCAGCCTCTTAAGTAACTGGGATCACAGGCATGTTTCACCACACCCGGCTAATTTTGTGTTTTTAGTAGAGACCGGGTTTCACCATGTTGGCCAGGCTGGTCTCGAACTCCTGACCTCAGGTGATCCACCCACCTCAGCCTCCCAAAGTGCTGGGATTACAGGTGTGAGCCACTGCGCCTGGCCAGATAAGTCTTTTCAATGTCCCTCTGTGTATGTCATTGAGGACTATAATTCACGGCCTTCCCTATCACTCAAAACGAGAAAGGACAAATCTGCCTGTCAGGTTTATTGGTTCCTGGCTTTGTTTATTGTTTAAAACAAGGATCAGCAAACTTGTTCTATAAAGGGCCAGAGAGTAAATAATTTCGATTTTTCAGGCCACATTTGGTTTCTGTCACACATTTCTTCTCTGTTGTTCATTTTTTCCCCAATCACTTAAAATTGTAAAATCCACTCAGCCTGAAGCCCCTAAGTAGGCAGAAAGCCAGATTTGGCCTAAGGGCTGGAAAGTTCACCAATCCCTGGTTTAAAAATAAGCCTTTGCTAAAATTTTTCTAAGTGACTATGTGCTAAAATTAATGTTGCTCAATAAACTAAACAACAATCTCTTATCAAATTGGTAAAGGGAATTTCCACAGATGTTATTAGGATACAGGGAACAGAGAAAAACCTACCACACAGAATTTTGTGGTCTGATTAATAATTAAAGTCATATGAAACTGCCAAGAATAAAACCACACTTTGAAACCCATTCTAAATCTATCGCTGGTTAATGACAGAGGTGGGCAGAAAAAGAGACAAAGGCTCGACCATTTATGGAAACAATCTCACAGCACAGAAAGATGAGCCTTACCGGTAACCCAAAATGTACTGCTTTCTTCACCGAATGCTCCAGCAGAACATAGCTATCGGATCTCTTCTGCCCCAGCACATAAAGCCAGCTCTGGCAAGAGAAATCATCAAAATATATCATAACAATGGCAATGGGCTGATGTTCTAGTGAAATATCAATGTGGTCATAAGAAGGAATTTAAAAGGGACAAAATGAATCCTCTCAGATACTCTTTCAAGAAATATCAAGAATCTCAATGAGACCTGTCAAACATATCAACACCATTAAAGCCAGGCTGAAATAAACGAGTCATTGTTCTGCTTCACCTGCCAGCCACTGAGGGGCAGGTGTTTCAGAAAAAAATCATGAAGCTCCTAGATGGCCTTTAATTGAGAAATAAGATTCTCAGGTGCTTGTCAAGTAGCTTCTGTGTTCCACTTGTGCTTGGTGATTTTGCTATTACAGGACTACATCTCACCCAGTTACTAAGTGTAGCATATATCTTTTGTTAATGCCAGTCCTAAATGTGATAAAGGTTTTTTCTCTTCTTTCATGGCAAGTTGCATTAAACTTTGTAGACCAGATATATGCCAAAAGCAACACAGATGTCATGAATTAAGAAAGATAAGTAAAGCTAGGTTGCCCTTTCTGAATTCCCATGACCACCTAACTTGTTTCCTTTTACTGCTGAAGATCTCTGCTCCAACTGCAAAACAACCCAATTCAAATGGGGCCTTGTGAAGGCCAACTCAACCCGTGAACAAAACTCCCAAGACCAGAGGACGGCCTCACCAAACAATGCTGGAGACACACGTGATCGTTGGACTCCTGGGCAATCCTAATTGCCTCCTGCAGGGCGAGCTCTGCCTGTTGACTAATGACAGACTAAACATTAATATCTCATTAATAATCACAAACATGCATAAGCAACCATAGCAGGAAGTCATGTGTACACAGTCATCCAAGTGCAGGTCTCTGGGTTGGAAGCTGTAACTATTTCTGGGCTTATTCTCTCAGAGGCATGCCCCAACCCCAGCAGCAGAAAACACTGACAGTGGAAATATAGGACATGTCTCTTCTAAGGGGAATTTCTACGAAAAGGGCATAAAGCAAAGACTTTTATCTCTGCTCCTAAGACGTTTATTTTAAAGGTGCACTGCTGAGGGGAGGGGCAAGGAGAGGACATAATATTTTACTTTTCATGGCATTCCCTCCTACATTATTTGAACTTTTTTCTTACTATGTGCATTTGTTACTTTTATCATTTTTCAAAATCACTTTTTTGTTTGTTTTTTAGAGACAGGGTCTCCCTCTGTCACCCACATTGGAGTAGAGCAGCGCAATCCTAGCTCACTACAGCCTCGAATTCCTGGGCTCAGGCGATGGACCTCAGCCTCCCGAGTAGCTGGGACTACAGGCACTCACCACCATGCCTGGTAGGCTAATTTTTATTTAAATAGATAAAGAGTCTCACTATGCTCCCCAGGCTGGTAAACTCCTGGCCTCAGGCGATCCTCCTGCCTCAGCCTCCCAAGTGACTGGGACTACAGGCTCACACCACCATGTTCAGCTAATTTTTTTAAAGAGATAAAGTCTCACTGTGTTCCCCAGGCTGGTCTCCAATTCCTGGCCTCAAGCGATCCTCCTTCTTTGGCCTCCCAAAGTGCTGGGATTATAGGCATGAGCTATAGTGCCCAGCCCAAAGCTAGTTTTAGAAAGTATTTTGGGGATTCCCACTTCTGTAATATTTTTTTCCTTTAAATGTCTGTTCAAATATTAAGTTGGCAGAGATCAAGGAGGGCTGATCTGCTACCTTTATATTTAAACAGAGATTTACAAATTGAAGGAGTGAGTGATCTATGCATGTATCTGGAGTAAGAGTGTTACTCAGGAAAACAAGAGCAAACAAGAGCACTTTGCCATCACTTTCTAACCTCTTATCTTGGCCTATCACTACCTGAGATATTACAACTATGCTTAGCATTGTTTATTCCCTACCTCCCCTGATATAAGCTCTATAACAGGGTTTTTTTTTTTCTTTTTCACTGCTGTATCCCTAGTACCTATAATAGTGCCTAGTACACAGTAAATGCTCAATAAATAACTACAAGGATTTTCAAGAAATCCTTTTAGCTAAGTGACAAAGATTTACACAGGCCCATAGATCCAGGACCAGAAACAAAGAAGGCTGGGCCTGAATAAATTAGGAATTAAGGAAAATGTACACATTAATAAAAATCTACCTTTCCTTGTTTATATTCTGTGCAATTAGCTGTCTACCCATTGATAATACTGTAAACATAGACAAATTCTGAGATGGGTGCAGTAGCTCATGCCTGTAATCCCAGCACTTTGGGAGGCCAAGGTTGGAGGATCACTTGAGACCAGGCATTCAAGAACAACCTGGGCAACATAGCGAAACCTCATCTCTATATTTTTACAAATAAAAAGAAGAAATTCTGTTCATCAAAGTATTATTTGTGGCTAGGCACAGTGGCTCACGCCTGTAATCCCAGCACTTTGAGAGGCCGAGGCAGGTGGATCACCTGAGGTCAGGAGTTTGAGACCATCCTGACCAATATGGTGAAACCCCATCTCTACTAAAAATATAAAAATTAGCCGGGCGTAGTGGCACGCACCTGTAGTCTCAGCTACTTGGGAGGCTGAGACAGGAGAATTACTTGAATCCAGGTGGCGAGGCTGCAGTTAGTTATTACAAGATATCATGGAATGTCGCAAAAATCATGGAGTTTTTTGGCGCCTTAAACATTTTTGGGTACAACCATCAATCTGATGTTTGAATACCCTTAATAACATCTTTGGTCTAGGCCGCTGCACCCCACTGATGCCTTCCTCAGAGGGTTCAATAAGGGGAAACTGTTTCCTTATAATGAGCAGAAATATTTTGTCCTTTAACTTACACTTAATTACCAGCTCTCAATCTTCTCCCGTAGCCATACCCTCGATCAATCTAAGCTCTTTTCACATGACCTTTTACTACATAAAGATGTCCAACACATGCTTGGATAAGTCATTTTTCTCCAGGCTAAACAACTCACATCCCTCCCACATTACTTATATGATATGGCTTTGAATGTCTCAACACCCTGAGACTGTTCCCCACACAAGCTTCAGCTTGTCTGTGTCCCTTTTAAAACCTGACAACTGGGTGGGCCCAGTGGTTCATGCTTGTAATCCCAGCACTTTGGAAGGCCAAGGTGGGACAATTGCTTGAAGCCAGGAGTTTGAGACCAGCCTGGGCAACATAGCAAGATGCTATCTCTATGAAAAATAATTAAAAAAAAAAATTAAGGCCAGGTGCAGTGGCTCAAGCCTGTAATCCCAGCACTTTGGGAGGCCGAGACGGGTGGATCACGAGGTCAGGAGATCGAGACCATCCTGGCTAACACGGTGAAACCCTGTCTCTACTAAAAAATACAAAAAACTAACTGGGCATGGTGGCGGGCACCTGTAGTCCCAGCTACTCGGGAGGCTGAGGCAGGAGAATAGCGTAAACCCAGGAGGCGGAGCTTGCAGTGAGCTGAGATCCGGCCACTGCACTCCAGCCTGGGTGACACAGCGAGACTCCATCTCAAAAAAAAAAAAAAAAAATTAGCTGGGTATTGTGGTGCATGCCTGTAGTCATAGCTAGGAGGCTGAGAGGGCTTGCTTGCTTGAGCCCAGGAGTTTCAGGTTACAGTTAGCTATGATCACACCACTGCACTCCAGCCTGGGTGACTGAGTGAGACCTTGTCTCTTAAAAAAAAAAAAAAAAAAAAACCTGACAACCAGAAATAAAAAGAATTCCCTAGGTGCTGCCTGACACACAGAGAAAGGGATAGACGTCTCCATTATTGAACTGTGGACACTATACTCCCATTAATACACGCTATAGTCTGTATTCAAGGATGCCTATAGCAAACACTACACTTCTCTCAACTGGTAAAAAACCACAGGGCAGGTGGGGGGGCAAAGGGATCTTTGAATTAGTAATTTCCCACCTTTTGCCATTATTTACATGATTTTATTATTTCCAAGATAGTCTCCATGTTTTGAAAGTTGTTTTATCTACTTAATTCTATTTACTAAAAAATAATTGACCAATTTTCCTATTTCTATTCATTAAAAACACAGGCATATCGAGGCAACAGTATAAACCAGTGTCACCTGACTGAGCGGCCTGAATTCTATCTGAAAGCAAACGTGACTTTTAGTAATCCTATGTAGTCTTTCATCCAGCAAAGGCACAACTGCCTTCTGGCTTTTTGAAATACGAAAAATAGCTTCTGCATCCTCATTTTTACCTCCAAAAACTCCTTTAGGGACTCTCTGGCCTAATGACCTAATTTCCTTTCCACTGAACGGCCTGTTGTTCTTAGAAGTAATGAAAGAGGCCAGGCACTAAGATGGCAATGTTAAATAGTGACACTAGAGGGCAGACTATTTAGGCAGAAGGTTTTCATTAACTTTATTCCAGTGCAAAAAAGGTTCCCTCTATGGAAGTTACTGACTAGTCCAGGTTAATGAGTTTCTTTCTTTTCTTCTTTTTAAAAAATACATTTTTAAAAAACGCATCACAATTAACATTTCAGAATTCATTTCTTCCACTTCTTTTCCCTTTTCTTTTCTCCACAAAATAGCAAATCTTTTTTTTTTTTTTTTGAGACGGAGTTTCACTGTTGCCCAGGCTAGAGTACAATGGCGTGCTCTCGCTCTCAGCTCACTGCAACCTCCGCCTTCCGAGTTCAAGCCATTCTCCTACCTCAGCCTCCTGAGTAGCTGGGACTACAGGCGCCTGCCACCAGGCCTGGCTAGTTTTTGTATTTTTAGTAGAGATGGGGTTTCACCATGTTGGCCAGGCTGGTCTTGAACTCCTGACCTCACGTGATCCACCCACCTCGGCCTCCCAAAGTGCTGGCATTACAGATGTGAGCCACCGCGCCCGGCCAAATAGCAGATCTTTTATTGTTATCAGTTTCTTCAATTTGCGCAAGGACGAAAGTCTATAAACTTACTAGTGACCGAAGCGGCAGTGCAGGGCAGCAAGATTCAAAGCGGCGTATCTCAAGCTCCGGCCATAGCCCTCTTCCCCATTACTTTTGCTTTCGGCTCCAGTAAGAATCAGACGATCAAAATAATGAAGGAGACTGTGTGTTGAACTGAAAACATCTTGGACACGGAGGTTGTTTAAGTAGCTGAGATAATGCTAAAACAAGAAATAATCAATGTATTTTAAATGCTGTAAATACATCTTGTGTAAGACAACTGCAGAGAGTTCCACTGGCTACAAACACTAGTGTATACCATACCCTTGTAATAAGATGGTCATAGTTTAGCTTAATCTTCTCCCTAGAGGCAGAATAAAACAGCTTCAAGACACATTCCCCCTAGAGGGAGTCCACAAATTAAAAATGGGAGTTCCATTAGTATTTGTGTCAGTTTTATCTCAAATATACGCCATTATGTCACTGGTCACACGAGTGATAGATGAGAATACTGGGCCTTACCTAGTTCAAATATTGAGGAAAACTTAGAGTTCAGAATTAAAGATACTAAAACCTGAATTCATATACAAATTATAAAATTAAGTTTTATTAATGTACAAGTTAAAACACACTGAGACTTACTAGCTTACTAAGTTAATTATTTTCTACTTTTTTTTTTTTTTGAGTCACTGAAACTTTCCTAACAGGCAGATCTCAGTTACTAGGAAGCAAACTAGATATATTTCTACACACAAAGTCAGATGGAAAATCCAAATACTATTTAAGAAAATTTCCCGAGTAAAAAATCCATTAAGGAATGTAATTATCAGAACTTTAAAAATAAACACTGACAAAAGAAGAGAAAGGAAAAGAGCTTTTCAGCCTCAAAACTGTCATTTGGGCTGGGCGCGATGGCTCACGCCTATAATCCCAGCACTTTGGGAGGCTGAGGAGGGTGGATCACCTGAGGTCAGGAGTTCGAGACCAGCCTGGCCAACATGGTGAAACCCCATCTCTTCTAAAAATACAAAAAATGAGCCAGCATGGTGGCAGGTGCCTGTAATCCCAGCTACTCGGGAGGCTAAGGCAGGAGAATCACTTAGAATCTGGAAGGCAGAGGTTGCAGTGAGCCAAGATCGCACCATTGCATTCCAGCACAGGTGACAAGAGCGAAACTCAGTCTCCAAAAAAAACAAACAAACAAAGTTTTTTGCATCAGTCTAGTATATTATCTCCAGTCTAAACTTTACAACATCAGGGAGATGACTGAAAGAGAACATCAAGAGTTTGAAGAAATCGCCTATGGCCCGGGGAGGGAGGGAGGAGCTTTGCAACCTATACCAAGTTGTTTGTCTGCCAAGAACATGATTTCCTTCAAGAACCTGGGCCAATGGGCTGATCCTCATTTGCAAAGCTACTCAATATAAAAAGTAGCCTTGGCTGAGCGCAGTGGCTCACGCCTGTAATCCCAACACTTTGGGAGGCCGAGGCAGGCAGATCATGAGGTCAGGAGATCAAGACCATCCTGGCCAACATGGTGAAACCCTGTCTCTACTAAAAATACAAAAATTAGCTGGGCGTGATGGCACGTGCCTGTAATCCCAGCTACTCAGGAGGCTGAGGCAGGAGAATCGCTTGAACCAGAGTCGGAGGTTGCAGTGAGTCAAGATCATGCCACTGCACTTCAGCCTGGCAAGAGTAAGACCCATTTCCAAAAACAAACAAACAAAAAAGTAGCCTTGTCATTCCTTTCTAACACAGCAACAAATTCTGGGAAAGACTCACCGCTTCAGCAAAATCAGGATTAAATTTCAACAAATTGTTTAACTCCTTCTGCAAGGAAGCTGGAGTGAGGGCCTTAGTCTCATCATTCTTTAGCAAAGAAGCCTGAAATTTAAAAATGATAACTCAGTAGAAAGAAAGGGTCAATAAACATATGAAAAGATATACTAACTAGCATCACCTGATTATTTTCTTTCCTACAGGGGTCCCTTCAGGCTCTGGCCCCTCATCTAGCCAGCCTTGGCTGGTCTCCCCTCACTCTAGGCACACTGAAGGTGGACCCTGCCACATGCTCTCCTCTTGACCATATACGAAAACACTTTCCTCTTCCAGAAACACCAAGCCTCCCACCCATCACTCCCCAGCCATATACTACCCAAGGCTGAGCAAACCCACGCCCACGCCTAGCTCATCCTCCAGGCCACCTGCTTCTGTCACCTTCTAGATGAGGTGAGATCCTAAAAGCCCCTCCATGCTCCCATAAGCCCTCTGCATTTACCCTTCCTGTAGCACTATCAAACTACAGTAAAATTGCCAATGTAACCCCACCCCAGACTGTAAGCTCCTTCCAGGCAAGCAACGTGTTTGCTTCTTTTCCAGTGCCTGTATGAGGCCTTATAGGAGCCAGGTGCCTTGCCCCAGCCCTACTTATTTGTTTCATATGGATAATATCAGCAACAATTATATAACATATGTAGAAAGTTAGCTACAAATTAAATGTTTACATTTAACTGGGTTATAGACACTTTACTCCAATTTTACCTAGATGAGTTTTTCTATAAGTAAAGTAATTTCTAAGGGCAGGGTGTGGTGGTTGATGCCTATAATCCCAAAACTCTGGGAGGTAGAGGCTGAGGCAGGAGTATTGCTTGAGCCCAGGAGTTCAAGAACAACCTGGGCAATATACTGAGACCTCATCTCTGTTTAAAAATAATTTCTTAAAAAAAAATTTTTTTAAGTAAAAATAATTTCTAATTCCATTGTTAATTTTTTTTTTTTTTTTTTTTTTTTTTTTTTTTTTTTTTTTTTTTTTTTTTTTTTTTTTTTTTTTTTTTTATCATTATAGAAAATTATTGGCCAGGTGTGGTGGCTCACACTTGTAATCCCAGCACTTTGGGAGGCCAAGGCGGGCAGATCATGAGGTCAGGAGTTGGAGACCAGCCTGGCCAACACAGTGAAACCCTGTCTCTACTAAAGATACAAAAAATTAGCCGGGTGTGGTGGCACGCACCTGTAATCCCAGCTACTCGGGAGGCCGAGGCAGGAGAATCACTTGAACCCGGGAGGCAGAGGTTGCAGTGAGCTGAGATCGTGCCACTGCACTCCAGCCTGGGTGACAGGGCAAGACTGAGTCTCAAAAAAAAAAAAGAATTATTATGTAGGTGTAGTAGGGGGAAAAATTATTCCAAAAATATAGAAAACCTACAGAAGAAAACAAAAATCTTCTGCAATCCCACTACCAAGAAATAACACTACTAATACTTTAGTGTATATTATCGAGTCTTTGTTCCGTGTGTGTGTGTGTGTATATATATATGTTACATATCATATTCTGATTTTGTTAAAAATATGTGTGTAGGTCAGGCGCGGTGGCTCAAGCCTGTAATCCCAGCACTTTGGGAGGCCGAGACGGGCGGATCACGAGGTCAGGAGATCAAGACCATCCTGGCTAACACGGCGAAACCCCGTCTCTACTGAAAAATACAAAAAACTAGCCGGGCGAGGTGGTGGGCGCCTGTAGTCCCAGCTACTCGGGAGGCTGAGGCAGGAGAATGGCGTAAACCCGGGAGGCGGAGCTTGCAGTGAGCTGAGATCCGGCCACTGCACTCCAGCCTGGGCGACAGAGCGAGACTCCGTCTCAAAAAAAAAAAAAATGTGTGTATACACATTATATAAATTTACAATACACCCTGTATTGTAAACATATATTGTGTATACACATTATATTTTTAATAAACTCACAATATGTTTACAATACAGGGTGTATTCTAAATTTATATAATGTATACACACACATTATATTTTTAACAAAATCAGAATATGATCTGTAACTTTATTTCCTGTTCTTTTCATTTTATATTGTAAACTTTGTCTCATCATCAAATATGATTTCTTTCTTTTTTCTTTTTTCTTTTTTTTGAGACAGAGTCTTGCTCTGTCACCAAGGCTGGAGTGCCGTGGCACGATCTTGGCTCACTGCAACCTCTGCCTCTCAGGTTCAAGCGATTCTCTGGCTTCAGCATCCCAAGTAGCTGGGATTACAAGCGTCCACCATCACATCTGGCTGATTTTTTCTATTTTTAGTAGAGATGGTGCTTCTCCATGTTGGCCAGGCTGGTCTCAAACTCCTGACCTCAGGTGATCCACCTGCCTCTGCCTCCCAAAGTGCTGAGATTACAGGCGTGAGCCAACGCGCCTGGCCTGAAAATATGATTTCTAAACCAAATCCAAAACCTAAACTTTCACTGTCACATTTATCGTAAATGCTTTTTTCCAAAGTATTAGAGCCCAAGAACACCTTTGCTGTTTGCCTTTTAATTTTTTTAATTTTAATTTAATTTCCTTTTCAGAAGGAGTCTCGCTCTGTCGCCCAGGCTGAAGTGCAGTGGCGAAATCTTGGCTCACCGCAACCTCCGCCTCATGGGTGCAAGTGATTCTTCTGCTTCAGCCTCCAAAGTAGCTGGGACGACAGGCACATGCCACCACACCAGCTAATTTTTGTGTTTTAATAGAGCCGAGATCACACCACTGCACTCCAGCCTGGGCCACAAGAACGACACTCCATCTGGGGGGGAAAAAAAAAAACGCTGTGGAAGAAAACAGGTAGGAGAAGATAATTTGACTTTCAGAATAAAAATTGAAAGCATCTCCATATCAGGACTTGTTTTAGCATAATTAACAGGCAAACAGGATGGGTGTGGCGACTCATGCCTGTAATCCCAGCAATTTGGGAGGCCAAGGCAGATGGATCATTTGAGGTCAGGAGTTCAAGACCAACCTGACCAACATGGTGAAACCCCCATCAGGAGATCGAGACCACAGTGAAACCCCGTCTCTACTAAAAATACAAAAAAAATTAGCCTGGCGCAGTGGTGGGCACCTGTAGTCCCTGCTACTCAGGAGGCTGAGGCAGGAGAATGGCATGAACCCGGGAGACAGAGCTTGCAGTGAGTTGAGATCGCGCCACTGCACTCCAGCCTGGGCGACAGAGAGAGACTCCGTCTCAAAAAAATAAATAAATAGGCTGGGTGCTGTGGCTCACGCCTGTAATCCCAGCACTTAGGGAGGCCGAGACAGGCGGATCACGAGGTCAGGAGATCGAGACCATCCTGGCTAACACGGTGAAACCCCGTCTCTACTATAAATACAAAAATTAGCCGGGCGCGGTGGCAAGCACCTGTAGTCCCAGCTACTCGGGAGGCTGAGGCAGGAGAATAGCGTGAACCCGGGAGGCAGAGCTTGCAGTGAGTGGAGATCACACCACTGCACTCCAGCCTGGGCGACAGAGTGAGACTCCGTCTCAAAAACATAAATAAATAAAAAATTAAATAAATAAATAAATAAAACAGAAATATTAATTGTAGAATCAAGGTAATAGGTATGGGTAATTACATACACTGTTTTTCAGGCTCTCTTTATGTTTGCAAATGTCTATAATAAAATGTTGAGAAAAGGGAAGCAAGTCTTTTAAACCACAGGGTTTTAGGCTGTTAGTCACATACCATTACTAAATGAACCTTGATTATAACTTTAATAGAAAAATAAAATCACACACAAAATAGGAAGGGGCACAGAGTTACAAGTGCTTCATTAGTGAAGCAGAGGGGACCAAGAGTAAAGGCTGACACAGATTCACTAACAAACCTATGCACATAACGGGCCTATGCCATGACACACATCACAGGACTAAAACAGAAGTTCATGAAAAACTACAGAATTCACATACCTGTTGAGAAAGAAAAAATTCTGCTTGTTTTTGGGACAGAGGCCCACTGCAAGATACCTCCTCTTCTCTGGAAAAAATAAAAAAACAAAAAGAGTAAAGAATTATACATAAGTGAAAATGATAACATTTATAAAATCAAATGGATTCTTGTATCAAAAGAGTTCAAAAAATTTAATTCTCTCCTCAGAACTAGGAAAGAAAAACTTAAAAAGTGATGTTGAGATCAATGCAGTGAGCCCAGAAAGAAGCCCTGGCATGCACGGTCAAATGGTTTTTGGCAACAGCGACAAGACCATTTGATAGGGAAAGGACAGCCTTTCCAACCAGTGATGCTGGGAAAACTGCACATCCACATGCAAAGGAATGATGGTGAGTCCTTATCTAATACCATAAACAAAAATTAACTCGCAAAGACTCAAAGACCTCAATGTGAGGCCAAAAACTATAAAACTCTTAGAAGATCTTCCTTCCACCTGCTAGTAATAAAAAATAAATAGTACATTTTTAAATTAAAAAAACTAAAAACTCTTAGAAGAAAACATAGAGTAGGCCAAGTGCAGTGGCTCACGCCTGTAATCCCAGCACTTTGGGAGGCCGAGGCAGGTGGATCACAAGGTCAAGAGATCAAGACCATCCTGACTAACATGGTGAAATTCCATCTCTACTAAAATACAAAAAATTAGCCAGGCATGGTGGTGTGCGCTTGTAGTCCCAGCTACTCAGAAGGCTGAGGCAGGAGAATCATTTGAACCTGGGAGGCGGAGGTTGCAGTGAGCCAAGATCACACCACTGCACTCCAGCCTGGGCGACAGAGCAAGACTCCATCTCAAAAAAAAAAAAAGAAAAGATCACAAAAATTTAAAAAATTGAAATTTTCCTTTAAAAAAGAGTTTAAAAATATACGTAAGAACATCCTATAAAATAAAAAGGTTCTCTAACAAAGTAATTTCTTTTTAGACAAAGAATTATAATCATTAGTTAGATTTAAATTTAAAGAATACATTTCAGGCTGGGCGCGGTGGCTCACGCCTGTAATCCCAGCACTTTGGGAGGCCAAGACGGGCGGATCACGAGGTCAGCAGATCAAGACCATCCTGGCTAACATGGTGAAACCCCGTCTCTATTAAAAATACAAAAAACTGGCCGGGCGCGGTGGCTCAAGCCTGTAATCCCAGCACTTTGGGAGGCCGAGGCGGGCGGATCACAAGGTCAGGAGATCGAGACCACAGTGAAACCCCGTCTCTACTAAAAATACAAAAAATTAGCCGGGCGCGGTGGCGGGCGCCTGTAGTCCCAGCTACTCAGGAGGCTGAGGCAGGAGAATGGCGGGAACCCGGGAGGCGGAGCTTGCAGTGAGCCGAGATCGCGCCACTGCACTCCAGCCTGGGCAACAGCGTGAGACTCCGTCTCAAAAAAAAAAAAAAAGAAAAAGAAAACGTTTCTTCAATTTTCATGATTAAATTCAGTTTACTAAATATGCACAATTTTCTGAAACCATGTACCTTTACAGTAAATATATTAGATTATACATAAATGACTTCTTGGAATAAGATAAAAACAAAAAGATGGAGTTAGACCTAAATAAATCAAGTTAATTTAAGAGAAAACCAATCCAAATAAGAAAAGTCTGAATTTTAACATTTCTGCAGAAGTGACACTTTGCTACTTTAAGCATATAAAGTAGCTAGAAAAAGGATTACACTGTAGCCTATAAGCATTTCTGAGGAGAAATAACTAAAAGAAAGTAGAGAATAATAACAGTTAACATTTCTAGGCATAGTTCTGAAAACTTTGTATGAATTTATCATTTAATTCTGGAACCCTCTGGGGAAGTGGTATGAGCCCCATTTTGCAGATAAAGAGCTCAAAGCACAGAAAGGGTGAGTAACTTGCCCAAGGTCTCACAGACCAAAGGCAGAGGAGCAGCAGGCAAACCTGTGGGTCTGACTGTAGAGCCAGACTCTTAACCACACACTATGTTGTCTTTCCACCAGACAAGAAGCATTTGTCAGGAAATGAGTTTTGGGGAGCAGTTAATGGTACTATTATCCTCTTGCTCCCAATATGTGCTGAACAAATCATGTAACAGTACAAAAACTACTCATAGAAAGTGCGATAAGCATTTCCCATTTATAAACAACGTCACCCCCTGCCACCCTGGGGATTACGGTAGCCTAACAACCTACAATGCAGTAAATGATAAGCTCCCAGTAAATGATAAGGTCCTCTGACCACCTCCTTAGGGCAGGAGGGGCTTACTTCTCTCAGAGCTCTGGACACTGTATCTGTTTACTTGTCAGCCTTCCTCACCAGACCACAGGCTCTTTGACACCAGGGAATATGAAATACATATCTTTTTGCCTGCAAGTACAAGTAGTTTATTTGGAAGCAATCCCAGATAATAGTAGTTGGGGAAGGAGAAGTAAAACAGCAAAAGAAAGGACAGTTAATACAAAGTGTGTTACCGGGCCAGTTACCAGTATGGGTGATAGACTTATTGATTCATCCAACATTCAGGTACAGAACACATTCTACGAGTCAGGCACTCTATTAAGCACTGGGGAAATGTGATGAAACGAGACAGAGAAGGGTCTCAGTTCTCAAGGGGTGAAGAGGCAGGGGAAATAGATAAGCAAGCAAGCTTAAGAAGGTTACTTAGTGATCAGAGGTATGGAGGAATAAATAAATACAAAGTATTTGGGGCTGAGTGCAGTGACTCATGCCTGTAATCCCAGCATTTTGGGAGGCCAAGGCGAGTGGACTGCCTGAGATCAGGAGTTTGAGACCAGCCTGGCCAACACGGTGAAACCCTGTCTCTACTAAAAATACAAAAATATTAGCAGGTATGGTGGCAGGTACCTGTAATCCCAGCTACATGGGAGGCGGAGGTAAGAGAATCGCTTGAATCCAGGAGGTGGAGGTTGCAGTGAGTCAATAGCGCACCACTGCACTCCAGGCTGGGCGACAGCGAGACTCAAACTCAAAAAAAAAAAAAGAAAGAAAAAGAAAGTATTTGGGATAGGGGCTACCTCGTGCTCAGGGAGGCCTGTCTGAGGAAACTTGAGCTGAGATCTGAACGGTGAAAGGGAGCACACGAGGTGAAAAGCCACGGAAGAGCATTCCAGGCAACCTGAGGCAGAAACTGATTGGAGTAGTCAGGAAACTGAAGGAGAGCCAGAGCAGTCACGATGCTGAGAGGGAAGGGGAAAGTAAAGAGAAAGAGGTCAGGGAAGATCATCGGGCCGGGTTATACAGGCACTGAAGCCATGGTAAGCTGAGACTCCTCTGTAAGTTCCAAAGGGTTTGGGCAGAAAAGTGCTGGGATTTGATTAATATTCTTAGGGGCTTCCCCGGATGCTGCCTGAAGAACAGATGTAGGGAGACAGGAGTTAAGTCAAGAAGAAAACTGAAGCTAGTGCAGATTTGGTGAGCAGATTTGGTAGAGGTTTGGTGCTTAGACTCCACGGGTAGCAGTGGCCGTGCAATAAGTGAACAAGTTCCAAACATAGCAAGGAGGAAGGACTGACCGGATCTGCTGAGGGACTGGGGTGAAGGGCACGGAGGAATCAAGGACACTACTGGATTTTGGGCTTGGCCAACTAGGTGAGTAACTTCCTTACAACAGCTTCCTTAGAGACTAGCCCTTAGGAGGCATTCAGTAAATTTTCACTGAATTAATCAATTGTTACTTCACTCTGATTTAACGAACAATACCAGTCAGGGACCCAGCAGAAAGCAAAGAACACGTTCGAATTGAGTAGTCTGAGAAGAGTTTAACAAAAGATCACTTTACAAAAGTAGGGGAAAGGACAGAGAAGTCATAAGAGACAACATAGTCCCCCGCACTGGTAACAGTGGGAACCTTTCACCTGGGGCCGACAAACACTTGCTCCTAGTGACCGAACCCACTGAAGGAGTGCAGAAAGGGCAACCTGACAGAAGCTGTGACCCTACAGCCAGCTCCCCAGGACCCCCAAGGAATCCACACTCCACCTTATTCTCCCTGGCCCTTGGGATTTCCTGCCAGTGACTCCCATTGGCCAATCACAAGTCAGAGGGCAAGGGACCCACTGGTGCAGCCTTTATCAGTTAACTTCCCAGATCTGGAGGGGTAAAAAGAGCATAAGGCAGCACATGAACTCTACATGAACAAGGACTTACTGCACTTAAAAATTATACTATTTCGCAGAAAAAGGATCCCTGTCAGAAAAAGCCAAATTACCTTACAGATACATCAAGTTCTTCTTTTTCCATTTTTCTTTCACCCTCATCTCTACTGGTCAGTTCCATATCAGCATCCTCCACTGTCTTTTTCTCACCATTCTGGAAGTACTGCTGAAGGGCAGTGTACAGTTTAAACACTTGGCTGAAAGAAAGCTTACTGTAGGCCAAGATCATGTGACGCAGAAACAAACCTACAAAATAAGACCAGAGACAAGGGGAAAGCATTAACTGACATCCAGGCTACACAACGGCAACTCCACAACGGCAACAACTGTTTGCTGCAATTCTTCCTTCAGAAGAATAAGAAAGACACACTTGCAGTTGCCATTCCCTCCTCCTGGAATGTTCTTCCCCAGTCCTTTACAAAGCTGGTTTCTTCTTATACAGGGCTCAATCTACCCACCCCACCTCCACCTGAAGGCTTCCATTTTACTTTCTTCATGGCTGTTACATTATCTGAAATGATATTTATGTGTTTACTTTTACCAACTGGCTACCCCAACCAGAGGTAATCTCCATAAGAGGAAATTCCATGTCTATCTTACACGTCCAGAGCCTGGCACATAGGAAGAGATAGAGAAACAGCTCACGCTGAATAACATAAAAATTACCATGCAAAAAAGCCAGAGGGATAGAGCATGGGATAAAGCTAATAGAAAAGCATCAAAGAAACACCATGTATGCCCTCACTTTGCATACTGTATCAGTAATGTATTTTTACTTACCTCTCTTCGTAAGTCTGGGCTGGTGACCCTCACTCACAGATGGACCATGCAGGCAAGTGATCCAGAAGACTGTGAGAGAAAGAGCTGGGAACCCCCAAAAACCCCAGGACCAGGCTCTGACTCTTACTATTGTAGACAAAACAGAAGGTGCTTTTCCATAGTTAATGATTTAAATATAGATCAAAACAGCAAGGCAATAAATACAAACTGCAACACCTCCAACATCCCCACTGAGTCTGTTCACAGATATAGCAGAGCAATGACAGACATGACTTAGAAAGCTGCTCACTTCAATGAAAATACTCTCTGCTCTTCTTAGAAGAGTTTCATACCTACTACACTTGTTTTGTGAACCTCTGGCTCAGTTCCAGAGAAAGAATCTGAAAGGTCATCAAAAAATTGTTCCATATCCTTCAACTCGCCTTCAGCCATCAGTTTGATTCTGAATGAGAAAATCGAGGTGCATATTTTAGAAAGGCCCTTTGAACAACTTCTCTCGTTTCATATTCCTCAATTATCTCGAATAATGTAGTTTACAGGCAATTCAGAGATTTGTATAAAATGGTGGCTCATAAAACAAACTTCATGATTCAAAATGTTACTCCCATATTTAGGAAAAGTATCATTGTTGTTTTCTTGATCATAAAATTTGTCAAACTATCACATCAACCAGTAAAAATGCAATTATCCGCAGTGACTGAAAAGAATAAGATGGGTAAAGAATTATAAAATTTGGGGAAAAAAGCTATAAAACAGTATGTTTAATGTTATCAATTTTTCAGCCAAGTGCGGTGGCTCACACTTGCAATCCCAGCACTTTGCAAGGTAGATGCGGACGGATTGCTTAAGCCCAGGAGCTCAAGACCAGCCTAGGCAACACAGCAAAACCCCATCTCTACTAAAACTACAAAAAATTAGCCAGGTTTGGTGGTGTATGCTTGTAGTCCCAGCTACTCGGGAGTCTGAGGTGGGAAGATCACCTGAGGTCAGGAAGTCCAGGCTGCGGTGAGCCCTGATTGTGCCACTGTACTCCAGCCTGGGCAACAGAGTGAAACCCTGTCTCCAAAAAAAACAGCTATCCATTTTTCAACAACAAAAAAAAAACCTAAGTAAAAGTTCTTGGGAAAACAACCTAGAATAATAAAGGTATCTTTTTAAAAGAATTAACTACCACATACCCTTTTGTGATTTTCGTCTACCTTGACACCTTTTCATATATAAAGAAGAAAATGAAGTTTACCTGATCTGCACTGAATTTGCCAGTTGTGGACAAGATTCTTCAATTAACTTGTAAAGTTTTGACAGTGTAATATCTGGGCCCTGTGTAAAGGGGAGATAGGGAGGTATGGATACATTTTAAAGAGCTGGAGACTGATAAAGAATTGCAAACATAAATTCATTTAATAATCACTCCAAATATGCAAATAAGGATTTTTCTATGTACCTAAAACACTAAAGTAATATTTCACATTTGCATACCATTTTTGTCTAGTCAGTGGAATGGTTTAAAATAGAAAAAAAACACAGGATTTATAGTCTGAGGATCCACTGTTCCTTCCTTCTTAATTTTGTAACCATGGCAAAATTGTGACCTCTGAGTCCTAGTTTCCTTCATCAACAAAATGGAGATAATAATCTCTCCCTTGTTTTTGGCAAAGATTAAATAAGATAATACGAAGTGCTTTGTAAACTGGAAAACACTAAACAAATACTATTTTTCACAAACATAATCTCATTTGATCTTCTCCTAAACCTTGTAACATATGCAGACATAGTATGCGCTGAAGTCTATAAAGAGTACCACGAGAGGCCAGGTGCAGTGACTCACGCCTATAATCTCAACATTTTGGGAGGCCAAAGCGGGTGGATCACCTGAGGTCAGGAGTTCAAGACCAGCCTGGACAACATGGCAAAACCCCGTCTCTACTAAAAACACAAAAATTAGCCAGGTATGGTGGCACACACCTGTAGTCCCAGCTACTACTCGGGAGGCTTAGGCAGGAGAATGGCTTGAACCCGGGAGAAAGAAGTTGCAGTGAGCCAAGATCATGCCACTGCACTCCAACCTGGGCAACAGAGCAAGACTCCGCCTCCAAAAAAAAAAAAAAAGAGTACCATGAGGAACAAGAGTATGTAACCTCAGCTACCAAGAAGATTACAGTCTAGTTGAGATTTAAAACTAAATACAGAATCTTTTTCAGAGAATAAGGTGACTGCATATATGCCAACTTTAGATGTGGATAACCCAGCAATTGCACTTCTAGGGGAGTTATTTTGGCATGCATTGGTTGAAATGAAGAAAAACTGAAAAGAGCCTGTAAGTCCAACAGAGACTTAATTTATAATACAGAGTTGAATTATGTTGCTTTTCTTACTGTGAAATATAATGCAGCCATTAAAAAGACCATTCAGGGCCTGGCGCAGTGGCTCATGCCTATAATACCAGCGCCTTGGGAGGCTGAAGCAGGCAGATTACTAGAGGTCAGGAGTTCAAGACCAGCCTGGCCAACATGGTGAAACTCCATGCCCAGGCTGCTCTTGAACTACTAGGCTCAAGTGATCCTCCTACCTCGGCCTCCCAAAGTCTAGGCACCCAGCCAAAAATTAACTAATTTAAGAAGTCAAACAGTTAGTAAAGGAGCTAAGGTCTGGCTGGAATGCTACTACATGAACTCTACATACATTTTGATTAAAACTGTACAGCAGGGGGCCAGGTGTGGTGGCTCATGCCTATAATCTCAGCACTTTGGGAAGCTGAGGCAGGTGGATCCCTTGAGCCCAGGAGTTCAGGACTAGCCTGAGCAACATAGGGAGACCTCATCTCTACTAAAATTTAAAAATTAGCCAGGCATGGTGGCAGGTGCCTGCAGTCCCAGCTACTTAGGAGACTGAGGTAGGAGGACAGCTTGAGCCCGGGAAGTGGAGGCCATGGTAAGCTATGATCACGCCACGGCACTCCAGCCCAGATGACTGAGGGAGTGAGATCTCACCACTCTAAAAAAAATTTGAAAAACACAGGCCGGGCGCAGTGGCTCAAGCCTGTAATCCCAGCACTTTGGGAGGCCAAGGCAGGCAGATCACGAGGTCAGGAGATCGAGGTCATCCTGGCTAGCACGGTGAAACCCCGTCTCTACTAAAAAATACAAAAAATTAGCAGGGCGTCATGGCGGGCACCTGTAGTCCCAGCTACTCGGGAGGCTGAGGCAGGAGAATGGCATGAACCCGGGAAGCGGAGGTTGCAGTGAGCCGAGATTGTGTCACTGCACTCCGGCCTGGGCGACAGAGCGAGACTCGGTCTCAATTTAAAAAAAAAAAATTAATTAATTAAAAAAATAAATTTAAAAATAAAAAATTAAATAACTGTATAGTAGTTAGCCAGTTTAAAAACCAGAAAGGAGAATTCTAAACAGCAAAAAAACAGCATGAGCAGGAAGGTGAGAGTTAAGAGACCAGAATCACTGTTTTTTTCTTTTTTTTTTTTTTGAGACGGATGCCCAGGTTGGAGTGCAGTGATATGATCTCGGCTCACTGCAACCTCTGCCTCCTGGGTTCAAATGATTCTTCTGCCTCAGCCTCCCGAGTAGCTGGGACTACAGGTGCACACCACAATGCCCAGATAATTTTTTTGTATTTTTAGTAGAGATGGGGTTTCACCATGTTGGCTAGGCTGGTCTCGAACTCCTGACTTCAAGTGATTCGCCCACCTCAACCTCCCAAAGTGCTGGGATTACAGGTATAAGCCATCGCACTCAGCCTTTTATTTACCAAAATTTTAGTATCCTAACTTTAACAATGGAGGGAAATGCATTTATAATAATAGCAAACGTGGCTAGCCCTGGGAACTATAAGTTATAAAGACGCGCCTTTTATTTAACTGGGTAAGTCTCTTAACCGTCGTGTCCTCAGTTCTCCCCTCCTCCCATTCCCCTCACCCACAAATACAAGTGATAATTTTTTTTAAAATCCTTTATAAACTATACTAAGGAATATAAATGCAACTCTAGATACTAATTTTATTAAGTTTATCTCTTAAGATCCCATAATATGGAGGCCCAGGAACCCAGATCTGTTTCTGCCATCAGTATTACTCAACAGATAATGCTTATCCATCAAGACACAGCTTCACACTTTCTGTAAGAAATCCTCGGGCCAGGCGCAGTGGCTCATGCCTGTTAATTCCAGCACTTTGGGAGGCCGAGGCGGTCGGATCACGAGGTCCGGAGATCGGGACCACCCTGGCTAACACAGGTGAAACTCTGTCTCTACTAAAAATACAAAAAAATTAGCTGGGCATGGTGGCGGGAGCCTGTAGTCCCAGCTACTCAGGAGGCTGAGGCAGGAGAATGGCGTGAACCCGGGAAGCGGAGCTTGCAGTGAGCCGAGATCACACCACTGCACTCCAGCCTGGGCGACAGAGCGAGACTCCGTTTCAAAAAAAAAAAAAAAAAAAAAAAAAGCGTCTCCATTCACCTCAGTGCACTCATTTACCTCTATCGCATTTCATTAATTTTACAAAAAACTACTTAGACTTTTCAGGAGGCTTCGGGAATGTACTGCTAAACAAAAATAGAACTAAGTACTGCGCTCGTGGAGGTTACTGTCTAATGGGGGAGAAGGCTGTCAATCACGTAACCATGAATATAAATCGAAAAGCCACAACTGCTATACGGGAAGATATATGCCCTATGTGAACACACTAAAATGAAAATACTAGTAACACTGAGCATTTATTACATATAGTAACAGTTTCTACTACTGTTCCCATTTTACAGACAGAAAACTGAGATCCAAATGAATTAAGGAACTTAAGTATCTGAGCTAGACCTGTGTCTGCAAAATGAAATAACACATGACAACTGGGCGCAGTGGCTCACACTTGTAATCCCAATACTCTGGGAGACCAGGCGGGAGGATCGCTTGAGTCCAGGAGTTCAAGACCAGCCTGGGTAACATGGCAAAACCCCGTCTCTACAAAAAAATATTTAAAAAATTAGCTGGGCGTGGTGGCCCGCTCCTGTACTCCCAGCTGCTTGGGAGGCTGAGGTGGGAGGATCACTTGAGCCTGAGAGGTCAAGGCTGCAGTGAGCCGAGATCACACTACTGCACTCCAGCCTGGGCGACAAAGCGAGACCCTGTCTCAAAAAATAACTTAAAACAAATTTTAAGCGAAGTGCTTGGCACACAGTTAAGTATTCAATCAATGCTCGTCCTTGGCTTTACGCCTTTTTTTTGTTTGTTTTTTTCTGAAATGGAGTCTTGCACTGTCGCCCAAGCTGGCGACATCTCGCCAAGTGGCGCGATCTCGGCTCACTGCAACCTGCGCCCCCCAGGTTCTAGCGATCTCTGCTGCCTCAGCCTCCCGAGTAGCTGAGATTACAGGTGCCCGCCACCACATCCGGCTAATTTTTTGTGTTTTTAGTAGAGACGGGGTTTCACTACGTTGGTCAGGCTGGTCTCTGAACTCCTAACCTCGTGATCCACCCGCCTGGCCCTCCCAAAGTGCTGGGATTACAGGCGTGAGCCACCGCGCCCGGCCCGGTTTTATGGCATTTTTACTATTTATTACGGTCCTCTAGGACAGGGAGCCTGTATGACTTATCCCTGTGTCTCCAACGCTCCATTTTACAGAAGACACAGGATCTGAGATTCTAACTCTCAGCTAATAAATACTGGAGCCAGACATGAACTTGCAAAAATAAATAAATGCATGCAAAGCGCCTGGCCCACCGTAAACGCTCAGTACGCGTTAGCTAGCGGTAGTAGCTATCTTTATTTCTTCACGTTCCTCCAGGCAGGGTGAGTATCTGATGGACACACGTGTCTTCAAGCCCAGGGTTCCGCACAGAGCAGATGCTCAGTGAAAGTTTGCTGCACGAACAGGAGCCAGCGGTCGCCTCTCACCTGCAGCAGGGGCAGGAGCAGCTGGTTGAGCCTCCGCCGCTCCATGAGGCTGACGGCGCCCTCGCCTGTGCGGCTCATCTCGTTCAGCAGCACCAGCACAGCGATCTTGTACGGCGTCACCCAGTCCTTGATGCCGAACACATTGGCGTGCACCACCCCATTGGTCATCATGGGATTGAAGTAGAGGCTCTCGTGGACGCTGGCCATGGCGGCCCGAGACTAAGTCCCGGGCCCGCGGCGCGCTGCCGCCAGTTTTCACCACAGGGCACAACACTACCCGGTCTACATCTCCGCCCGCCCCCACAGTATCCCAGGAAACAGGCATCCGCGTGCTCGCGGCATGTTGTTAACCAATCAGAGCAGTCGATCAGTGCACATGGGATGGCCTCAGCCAATCAGAATGTACAAGAGTGCGGCGCAGGTTGCACCCAAAGACTGATTCCCTACAGAAACTCTTGCCGAGTGGGAGCAGGTTCCCAGGCGACGTGGACAGGGATCGGATGGAAGGCAAAGTTGATGCTTGGGGTCCGGGCCGAAGGAACTGAGGAGCTCCCCATGTGGTTTTGTTGTTGTTGTTGTTGTTGAGACGATATCTCGCTATGTTTCCAAGGCTGGAGGGCAGTGGTTATTCATAGGCGCCATCAAAGAAGTACTGCACCCTTCCAAATCCTGGGCTCGAGCGATCCTGCCGCCTCACCCTCCCGAGCTGCTGGCACTACAGGCATCGCGCCTGGCTTGTTCTTGTAATTTGAAAATAGTTAAAATTCAATGTTTAAATGATTGTTTAAAAGTAACGAAATTAAATTTGCACCGTTAAAGTATGTATTTAATTCATTATGTTACTTTTAAACTCAAATGTTTAGGAGTTTCATTTAACTCTGTCTTTAAAGATAGGAACATGAGATTTTTCTTCAGCGTTTCACAACAAATGCCCTTTGTAGACAGCCAGGTCAGGTTGCCAGTGGTCATGTATCCTTACGTGAAATAGAAGATAAACAATATCACCTCCCTATGGTGAGTCGGTTTCCTACCTAATAAACTACAAAATCTGTACTCTGCATTTCTTTTTTTTCTTTTTTTTTTTTTTTTTGAGACGGAGCCTTGCTCTGTCGCCCAGCCTGGAGTGCAATGGCTTGATCTCGGCTCACTACAACCTCTGCCTCCCGAGTTCAAGCAATTCTCCTGCCTCAGCTTCCTGAGTAGCTGGGACTACAGGAGCGCACCACCACGCCCGGCTAATTTTTGTATTGTTTGTAGTGATGCGGTTTCACCATGTTGGCCAGGCTAGTCTCGAACTGGTTGGTCTTGAACTCCTGACCTCAGGTGATCTGCCCACCTCGGCCTCCCTAAGTGCTGGGATTACAGGCATGAGCCACCGCGCCTGGCCGCATGGCTAATTTTTTTTTTATTTTTTGTAGACACGAGGTCTCACTGTGTTGTCCAGGCTGGTCTCAAACTCCTGGACTCAAGCGATCCTCCTGCCTCAGCCTCCCAAATTGCTAGGATTAAAGGCATGGACCACGGCATCCAGCCTCATGCCTGGTTTTTGTTTTCTCAATCGCTGTTTGTTTAATAATGAATATGCATTATTCACAAAAACAAAAAAGAAGGCAGATGCGTATAAGCTAAATAATGCTATCGAAAAAGAAGACATTGATCTCTTAAAATACAAGCTAACTTACCTATCTTGAGAACTCTGTGTGTTTTAGTTACCATACATAATTATTGTATAACTATCTTTTATTTGTGAAAGGAGAAGCTGGTTTTTGCCAGGAATTTAATATTTACTTAACCTCTTTCTTTGCCTTGGTTTATTTTTATGCCTCACTCCATTAATGAAAAAGCATACTTACAATCTCCCAGCTCTTTAGGATATTTTTGCATATGTGTATACCATAAATAAGGTTTGACAAAGGGTCTGTGGAATAAACTAGTATTCAACCTTAAAATCCTGAGTAGGGGCCTGGCGCGGTGGCTCACGCCTGTAATCCCAGCACTTTGGGAGGCCGAGGCAGCTGGATCATGAGATCAGGAGATCAAGACCATCCTGGCTAACACGGTGAACCCCCGTCTCTACTAAAAAATACAGAAAAAAATTAGCCGGGCGTGATGGCGGGCGCCTGTAGTCACAGCTACTTGGGAGGCTGAGGCAGGAGAATGGCGTCAACCTGGGAGGCGGAGCTTGCAGTGAGCCGATATCGCGCCACTGCACTCTAGCCTGGGCAACACAGCCAGACTCCATCTCAAAAAAAAAAAAAAAGAAAAGAAAAAAAATTATGAGTAGGAACACTTAATGAATGGAAAGAGGAAAGTAATTTTACAAAATCCTAAGTAACAATCTTACTCTAAATTGGTAAGACTTTCAAGCCATTGATTCATTTATTCGATAACTCTGTGCTAAGCTCCTACTATATTTAGGGCACTGTTCTAGGTGCTGGGGACCAAAAGGGATGAATTTCTAAACCAGAAGTTGCAAACTGAAGTTGTAATCTAAACTAAATGTGGCTCATTAGATATATTTTATTTGCCTTGCATGGTGTTTACCAACACTTAAAAAATAGGATATTTCTGCCAACAAAGAACTACATTTCCAGCTTCACTTGAAAAATTAGAAAATTTGGTAACTTGATTTATTCCCAGATGGTACCAACTGACTGGATATGCACAGCATTAGCTGCCTTTGGCCAGGCACAGTGGCTCACTGCCTGTAATCCCAACATTTTGGGAGGCGAAGGCAGGCAGATCGCTTGAGGTCAGGAGTTCAAGACCAGCCTGGCCAACATGGTGAAACCTTGTCTCTACTAAAAATACAAAAACTAGCCAGGCATGGTGGCGGGTGCCTGTAATCCCAGCTACTCGGGAGGCTGAGGCAGGAGGATCAGTTGAACCAAGGAGCCAGAGGTTGTAGTGAGCTGAGATCATGCTACTGTACTCCAGCCTGGGCAACAGAGCAAAAACTCCATCTCAAAACTAAATAAATAAATAGGCTGAGGGTGGTGGCTCACACCTATAATCCCAGCACTTTGGGAGGCCAAGGTGGGTGGATCACTTTGAGGCCAGGAGTTCGACACATGCCTGGCCAACATGGTGAAACCCCGTCTCTACTAAAAATACAAAATTTAGCTGGGCATGATGGTGGGTGCCTGTAATCCCAGCTACTCTGGAGGCTGAGGCCGGAGGATGCCTTGAGCCCTGGAGTTCAAGGCTGCAGTGACCTATAATTACCACTGCACTCTAGCCTGGGTGACAGAGTGAGACTCTGTCTTATAAATAAATAAATAAGCCACCTTTATTTAGGGCATGCCGTTTCCAACTCACTACAATCGTCATCAATCATTATTGGGTTGTTTTGTTTTGTTTTGTTTTGAGACAGAGACAGAGTCTCGCTCTGTCACCCAGGCTGGAGTGCAGTGGCCGGATCTCAGCTCACTGCAAGCTCCGCCTCCCGGGTTCATGCCATTCTCCTGCCTCAGCCTCCCGAGTAGCTGGGACTACAGGCGCCTGCCACCTCGCCCGGCTAAGTTTTTGTATTTTTAGTAGAGACGGGGTTTCACTGTGTTACCCAGGATGGTCTCGATCTCCTGACCTCGTGATCCGCCCGTCTCGGCCTCCCAAAGTGCTGGGATTACAGGCTTGAGCCACCGCGCCCGGCCTTGTTTTGTTTTGTTTCTTGGAGCCAGGGTCTCACTCTGTGGCCCAGGCTGGAGTGCAGTGGCATGATCACAGCTCACTGCAGCCTCCACCTCCTGCGCTCAAGTGATCCTCCCACCTCGGCCTCCCAAGTAGCTGGGACCACAGGCATGCACCACCACATGTGGCTAATTTTTAATTTTTTTGTAGAGATAGAGTCTCGCTGTGTTGTCCAGGCTGGTCTGTAACTCCTGGGCTCACAAAATCCTCCCACCTCCGTCTCCCAAAATGCTGGGATTACAGGTGCCAGCCATCCTGCCTGCCCTAGACTTTTCTCTTTGTACATATCTGATTTTAAGAATGTGGGTAGGCTGGGCGCCATGGCTCACACCTGTAATCCCAACAATTTGGGAGGCTGAGTCAGATGGATCACCTGAGGTCGGGAGTTCGAGACCAGCCTGACCAACATGGCGAAACCTTTTCTACTAAAAATACAAAATTAGCCGGGCATGGTGGCGCATACCTGTAATCCCAGCTGCTTGGGAGGCTGAGGCAGGAGAATCGCTTGAACCCAGTAGGCAGAGAATGCAGTGAGCCAAGATCATGCCATGGCACTGCAGCCTAGGCAACAAGAGCGAAACTCCTTCTCAGAAAAGAAAAAAAAAAAAAAAAAGAACATGGCTAAATATCAAAACTCTGAAAAGATCTGAACTATTTTGGACTTACTCCATCATCTTAGAGATCATATGACCATTTTCATAGCACTTCATTCAAGCTTCATTTATTATATGTATGATTTTATATCTATGACTTACATAATTAACTGCGTCCTCTGAGGGACTGTCATAGGCAGGGAGCAGGTTTGCTTTTTTAAAAAAATCTTTGCATCCTTAGTTTCTGACACATTTAGTATAGGCTCAATTATTGTCAATATGCCTTTGAGTCAACTGTGCTGCAAAGCCTTGACATTCACTCAACAAATACATTTGAGTACATACTATATGCCAGTCATTGTGCTAAGTCCGTGCAGGTACAGCAGTGAATATACAAACTAGGTGCTTGACCTCATGGAGGAAAACAATTGTCATAAGAACTACCCAAGGCTGGACACAGTGGCTTATGTCTGTAATCCCAGCACCTGGGAGGCCGAGGGTTGGAGGATTGCTTGAGCCCAGGAGTTTAAGACCAGCCTGAACAACATGATAAGACCCCGTGTCTACAAGAAATTAAAAAAAAAAAAAATAGCCAGGCATGGTGGTGGGTGCTTGTAGTCTCAGTTACTTAGGAGGCTGAGGTGGGAGAATCACTTGAGTCCAGGAGGTCAAGGCTGCGGTGAGCTGTGAGCATGCCACTGTACTCCAGCCTGGGTGACAGTGAGACATTGTATCAAAACCAAAGAAAGAGAGGGAAAGAGCTAGAGAGAAGGAAGGAGGGAGGGAGGAGAAAGAAGAAAGAAAAGAAAGAAGGAAAGAAATAAAGAAAAAGACAGAGTGAAGGAAAGAGAGAGGGAGAGAAAGAAAGAAAAAGAACGGAGGGAGGGAGGGAAGAAAAGAAAGAGGCCTGGGTGCAGTGGCTCATGCCTGTAATCCCTACACTTCGGGAGGCCGAGGCGGGTGGATCACCTGAGGTTAGGAATTCGAGACCAGCCTGGCCAACATG